CTTTCCCCAAATGGAGAAACTAAAGAAAGTGAATACATACTCTTCCTTGTATAAGGTTAATTTTCATTTCCGCTATTCGCCATACTACTATTTGGTACCAATTAGTAACGAAAACATTGGTCGCCAAATTGTCTTATAACGAATTTCACAATTATCGACAATGGCAGATACTCTACAAAAATATAATGGGATTAAATACGCACGATCTATACACAAACGAGTTGCATTCCTACTGATTCTATATGTTCTTTTAAATTCGTTATAGTATTTTACTCTTCCATTAATCATGAAACCATGTCTCATACTTTTGACCAATGGTCCATAGGCGAGAGAAATTTTCCGGAGAACAGAGTCCGTGAATTTGCGGACCATTCCCTCAGACCCTCCCTTCTTTCAGGCCTTCGCCTGAATGTTACACTGTAATTTCACGAGTTAGTGATCGAAAATTGTGGAGTTTATGAAAACGGTTTTGTAAAGATAAAAGAATAATCGTATTTGCCGTGTTAAACCAATGACAAACTGAAATTTCTATGATATTCTCGAATGAAATAAAATTACAATTTCAAGAATAATACAATTCAAGTTATAAAATCATCAAGTTCCTTCCATTAAAAATTGTTTTTGAGAAGAGAACGAAGTAATTATATCCGGTAAATTAACTCTAGTGCCAAAATGAACCCGATGATTGGATTATTTACACTAGCGTTATTATTTTATTGTAATTCAGTGAAACTCTTTATACAAAACAAACGTTTTTGTGCGATCTATTAACGACTACCCTTTGTCAGAAACATTTCATTCGAAAGCCGAACGTTTTCGCACTACTCGAAACCACGCTACTTCACTATTCTCTAACTTCCTTCACATTAAATAAAGTCACGAAACCTGCTCCAAAAATTCAAAAACCATCAAGTGTTTATTAAAAAAAAATAAAACAATTCTACTCTAGCTAACAATTAAGAGAATTACACACCAAAGTTCTAAACGTTCGAAAGCAATTAAATCGGAGAACTGAACGTCGAATGTATACGGTACAGGATACATGTATATCTAGCTTCGAATCAGAGCATGCGTTCTCCCGCCTAGTTGTTCGCTCGATGCAACTTCAGGCAGTACAACGAACATTCCATTGCAAAACTGGTACGCAAGCGTCGTACACGGGTACATACGTAGGCTGACTCGGCTGATCGTTAAGTACGTCGACGATCGGTGTGAAAACCGCGAGTGGAATCGGGCTTTCGATAGTCGCAGTTTAAAGGGAAAGAAAAAGAAAAATGTGTCAATGTCGCTGGGAACAGTGGCACCCCGAACGAGTGAATACCACGCGTGCTGCCAACAGTCAGCAGGGACAGCCTCGAGGGAGCGAGAAGGATCGTTCGATCTGAACGTTGGAGCCAACAACGTGCCTCTGGGACGCAGCCGCGCAATTCGTACAATCGCCGCGTGACAACATACGTGGACGGTGTTACATGGCGAGTTACTCGCGGGGACGTTCATCCCGACAATCCGAGTGAGTGGCGACAAACAATTCGCAGCGCGACCCTCTATATCTGGGAACGGTGGAATCCGGATTCGGCGTTCCAGTGGACGTTCACTTCGATGATCGATCCCATTCCGAACGGTCGATTACATTGTACACTTTCGATGGGTCGTTCGTCGAATGGTAACTTAATATCATCACAGGTCTAAATGGGATTATGAGGATTATTTGTAAATTCGCCGGATAAATTGGATTTCGTTTTTATCTTTGTAACCTGCTCACACCTCAGGTGTATAACCGCGCGTGACACGCCGCACACACGATTCTACCCGTGGACGACCCATTGATGGATGTTTTATGATCGCATTTTATTTTACGGTCGTCTGTTGTGTTTTGCAGCAATTATGGCACGCGACTGCTTTCGATTTATGAGGCATACGGAATTCGATTACTATCGATTACCGGGATTTATGTAATCGACGGAGGTTTTAAAACGATTAGAATCCGAGCTGGCTAAGCAGAGAACGATATTAACGGCGCGCGATGCGGTGTCCGGTGATCTGGAGGATATATTTGAGATTGAATGATTTTGGGGAATAAGGTCGGGCTGTAGTTTATTCTGTATTATGAATTCTTCATTCTCCTTCGGCTAATTCTATTGTACACTATTTTGTATCTCTTCTAAATATAAATATCGAATCTGTTCTCCTTCGGTGTTTTACTTTTCATGAATCATAAGTTTGAAATCGTCTGAAAATTCCTGACGCTAAATTAACCGTTGGTGATTTGATTCATAAAATTTTCTCTCGTATGAATTACAAGATCAATTTCCTCTGTATAATTTTATTTATTTACTAATACATTTTATTCCTTTGTTATGTGACAATTATTTTGAATAATTATTGTCTTTTTTCTTCCCGTGATGTTTCAATTCAACCAATCTACTCGCTCGATACAGCACAAAAATATTTTTCCAGTTTTTATTCTTCCAATATACTTCTCACTTTTTTCCATATTTATACTTTGTGCGTTAAGTAATTTCAAAAAATTTATTGTTAGGAAAGACGCGACAGACAAAAATTCTCGTGATGAACGTCAGAAACACCATAGCCGCAGCCAATATTGATTGCCAAACATGTTACACAATAGGCGACTCATGGTATTGATTCGATCGTAATGCACGTGCTACTCTATGTCGGTGCAGACATTCATGGGGATTCAAATCATTGTCCCTGCCATCAGAAACAGGTTTCGGTTCGTGAAATTTTTTACGCTAAAACTATTTTCAGTCATTCTCGAGTCTTCTGTCTTTTGTAAAATTATTTATAGATTACTTTTTATCAAATTAAGGGATGTGCACCCAATCAAAAATCTACCCCCGAGAAAGTTCCAGATCAAGTTTTACGAATATCACTTTCTACGTAATTTCTTACTCGGAATTGTATAGTGCAAAAGTTTATTTCTTGGAAAAATATAATATCAGCTCCTGTGCATTCTTTCACGCCGAACTTTATCGTGCGCGAATCAACTCTGTAAGTAAAATATTTTCTGCAATTATTGTAAACAACATTTTTGGGAAAAATTAATCGGACTTTAGAATTTATATCTCTGTTTCTTAGGTATTTTGTAGACGATGTGCAGAAAAATTTTATCCGAGAAACTTCATTTTTGTCTGAGTCATTAAAGTTTCTGTCTTGGAACAGTGATTAAAACTACTTGATCAGCACTTGGATCTTTACCTTCCTGTGACCAAATAATATAGTGGATAAAGATATTTTTACACCGATTATGTTTCCTATGTGAACACATAAAATATTCTATACGTGATTCATGCTGAATTTCAAAAACAACTCCCACAAAATTCAATTCTTCGGTTCAATATTTATTGTACAACTTGCAAGAAGATATTAAATAAGCAAGGATATGTACTTTTTTTAAATCCGATCAGTGTTGGTAAAAATTGGTTCGTAATAATTGTAAACAAAATTGTACTACAATATTAATTCTTATACAACACAGCGTGAAAGATGATATAGATATTCATATTCGTAAATTTGTATCCGGAAAATAACTAGGAGTTGATTTTTAGGCGTGTGTACTCCCTTACATGAGGTTTTATTGAGAAACATTTAGTACATTATATGATAATAAGTATAATGAATTTATATTAAATAATGGGAATACAACACCAGAAAGTATTCAGTGAAACTGCTTAACATAATCATTGCTGAAATTATTTACGCACGTATTAAAAATGACAAATACATGCTGTGTATGTATTAAATATACAGAATAGAAAAGTTAAGTATATCCGAAGAAAATATTAACAAAATAATATTCACGTCTCTTTATAATACATACATATACATATAGAATAATGTAATATTTTCTGTAATGTAAAAATTATAGAAAGTTGTGTAAGAAGTATGACAAAGTTTTCAGACATTTATTATTCCTTGAAGACAAAGAATGATAATATGAGTCGTCGGAAGTTTTTTCCTACGACTGGAGATAATTGAACGCTTACTTCAATTACCGCTCAATTTTCCCATTCTGTATTTTGAAAATAAAGAATGACATCTATTTCCGTATTAATACTTTGTTTAAAGACGATGATTATTTTATGTTATTTTTTCCGCCATTAGCCAACAAATTTTTACATTCAATATTTAAATAAGATTAATAACAGTGCACTACAAAATTTCGTTTCTTAATCAAACACTTTTCGTCAGGTGTAGTGCCATGTAAAGTTACTAAACTATAATTATTTAATACTTGTTTTGAAAAAATCATTTAACAGTTTCTATTTATTGTTTGCAAAGTTATTAGGTTGGTGGGAAATAAATAACCGATTCAATATGTTGCGATTACTATTGTCCCTATTAAATTGAAGTCGATACGTATTATAAAAGTAGTGCAAATGACAAAAGCTTTAGTCTGAGAAAACCTTGGGTAATGTTATACTGTAATAGAAAAATCGGTATGCTTTCAAACATTAAAACAGATTATGTACTATCATTTGAAAACACTCGTAGCATTTTTTCTCTAGACAAATACTGATCTTATTGTTTCCTGTATTACTTGTCTCGTTTTTGGGAAAAAGGAATACTTATACCATTTTTCCACTGAGCCTCTCAATCGCAAACTATGTAGAATTTTTTCAATTATTTTTTACAGCACGATGAGCAGTAGACATTGTAAAGTTAAAATGAATCATACTGGATAATATTTTAATGTATCTGTGTATATGTGAAGTTTCAAGACTAATGCCGATGACGTGAACTGTAATCAACCATTCACACATATGAGCCACCAACCTAATACTTAAGTAACATAACCATCGTGTGTTCTATAAAACATTACTTTACATAACGCTTTCTATCCTTTTTCTTCTGACTTCGTCGAAAAGAAATTAACATTAAAAGAACACGTATAGAGAATTTATGATGTAGCAAGTTAACAGATTAATTTATGTTACCTTCTGATTTATTAACATACGAGTTTTACGTCCAGTGACACAATGGACGATGACATCGACGACAAGGATGACACGAAGCGGTGAGTACTTCATTAAACATCCTTCTTTTTATTGGCTATTTATTAAGTCAGATATCTTTAAGTTCATAATCTCTGATATTTTAGTAACTTCTACGTTTCTATTATTAGAAAATCGAGAAATTTAAGTGAAAAGAAACGCCGAGATCAATTCAACATGTTGGTGAATGAGCTGGGGAGCATGGTCGGTTCGAATACACGAAAAATGGACAAATCTACTGTACTAAAATCTACGATATTATTCCTAAAAAATCATAACGGTGAGCATAATTTAAATCGTAGACGGCTATCTTTCATTTGTTTTATATTTCATTTCCAAATCTTGCAGAAATAGCTGTAAGGTCTAGGGTTCACGAAATTCAGGAAGATTGGAAGCCGTCGTTTTTATCAAACGAAGAATTTACGCATCTCATACTAGAGGTAGGCATATCAACTCAAAGTAACCAATAATAATTCTACTATATACTTTTGACAATCAGTGTTTAGCGGTTATTAGAAGCGACTGAAATATCCTTTCTGATTCATATTTTCCATGCGGTTTTTCCAACGTTACCCGATTATCTCGAACGTTCAAGTATTCGAACATAAATAATACATGGGTGGTTAAATAGAAATAAATGTAAAATCGTCTGAAAAAGAATAATGTGCAGAAAGGCACAGAATCACGAAGGATTCAAAGCGATTAATAATTCGCATACTAAAAGTTTAAGACAAGTTTGTTTTTCAAGAAAAAATGTAGTTTGATCTATAAGACGTACGTATACATAAATAATTATAACTATTTATTTATAAATAAATATATAAGTAAAAATAATTATGGTCTCGAACTTATGGCATAACAAATAACATGCTTAATCAACCAATAAATTGCAGTGCAGACAGTACGAATTTCTTGATTGATAAAACCAGAAACAATTTTTTTAATGTAGGCTCTGGACGGTTTTATAATGGTATTTTCTTCAAGCGGGCGCATTTATTATGTGTCTGAAAGTGTTACATCCCTACTTGGCTACCTTCCAAAGGAGCTGGAAAACATGACTATCTACGATATAATTTACCAAGAGGACCAATCACCGCTTTATAACGTTCTGTTGAATCCTGCCAACTCGAGGGATCGACGAAACATTAAAAAAGGTGCTGTTTTCTATTAAAACCAAAATAAAAATCAACATACATTGACAATCCTATTGTCTTTTATAGAGGACCAAATGTCTTTCTCGTGTCACATAAAAAGGGGCGGTCTGAATGTTCAGGAAAATCCTGTATACGAGCTCGTGCAATTTGCCGGATATTTCCGTGAGTAATATACAAAATTTCACGTAATACATACCTACTTGATTCTAACGTTGACGATTCTATTTGCGAAAAATAAGTAAGAAACCGGGCATAACCATTTTTCGTTGAGAATTTAATTTTCCAGACAATACGTTATCAGACTTAAACATTCAAAACTGCCCTTAAGTATATACATACACCCGGTCTCGTTTGGCGATGAAATTAAATTTTCTGAAAAACAATGTCCCGATAAAAAAAAGTTTTCTTATTGAAGAAGACTTCTTATAGGGACAAGTCAAAGGAAAAGAATATTTACCATTCGCTTTACCAATTTTACCAAAACAGTCAGCATTACCTTGTAAGCAAGTCTTTTAATAACTAACTGAATCGTTTATGTAGTTGATATAAACATTAACGATTTTTTTGTTGTAATATATTACACTATAACTGTGTTATTCCTATAGCAAAGATTACTGAAAAAAATTGCTTAAACCCCAGATTAAATTAAAATTTGTTAGAAACAGATGTGGTGAATATGGTGAACGGTGAAGGACTCGACATTACACGTTTGCATCGTTTCTGCAACGCCATTTATCGAATGTGCGATGCGTAGCATAGTCATACAGAGTGATCAAACATTTCAGCTTTATTCACGTTGATTACGATTTTCTTTAATATTTTCTGAACATCTTGTTTCAAAACCAAAAAGTGCTATTGCCATTTAGTACAGATTTTAACCGTTTGCGCTCCGACTATCAGTGTGGTTGGCACAACGCTGGATTAAGAGGGGAAGAGGGGGGGGGGGGGCTATAGCCCCGGGCCCCACTTTCAAAGGGGACCCCGATCTAAGCCTTCCATTTATATACAAACATAATTGAATGAAATTTTGTTTACTGCTTCCCTTTTGAAATAATTAGAAATTGTACTAAATGTAGAAATAAATCGGATCAAAGTTGTTAAAATATAACGAAGCATTGTTGGTTGTAATCAAGCATTTATTAGGATTAAATGATATTTAATTTTATTTAGAATAGATTTCAATTTTTGAAGATTTATGTATTTGATTGTATGTTGAATTACAAAAATGTTGTGCCCCCCCCCCCCTCCCCCGTTCAACCAAGAGAACCCTCAAAGGTTTAATAGCCGTAGGCCACAAGAAATCTTAAACCGGGTCTCGGCTGACACAGCAAGTAAAGGCAATCTACTACAACTACCAGCTGTACTGTCAACACATTATTTTCTTTTGTTTTACCAAAAAATCCCTGGAGTGGACTAATACAAGCGCTAAAAATGCACGAGGCGCAAAGAGTTAATATTTCTTAACACAAGGTGTTTGATAACAGGTGTTAGAAATTTTAAGGGATGATTAAACATGCCAAACTAACAATAAGAAAAACTCATAAACAATGAAACTGGGTTGATGGTTGTTATTAATTGCCGAAAATATGGTTAACAAGCGTGTGACCCGACGGGTTAAGGCAAACTTTCCTGTAAGCTTCGGACACGTGTATCTGCGTTTAAGGGGTCTTCTGTGGTTGTGAAGAAAAGAAAGCGATTTTTTAGGAACTTTGCATAGGGAAAAGCGTGTACATTTACGTTCACGAAAATTTTTGGATTTAATAAAGACACATTTAAACAATATTTTTTTAAATTTACATGCAAAATTATCGATTTGTTTAAGAATTACGCAGGATTTCTCAGACGGCCTTTTTAACAAGGTGGTTAGCGGTGACCACTCCTGCTTGGAACTGGATCATTTAACATCAAAATTTCGGGAAATTTTACTCTTTAATCGAAACATTATAGAAAAAAGTCATTTGAGGGAAAGTGACGGACATTGAAAATTAAGTGATCGATTTTCATTTTACAAAAACGTTCATTTCTCTACCATAAAATAAAAACTAAACATTGAAAAAAGAAATCTTTCCATTAAAGATTAAATTTTTGTGCCTAAAATAAGCCCTCAAATCGGATCCGTTCAGAGGTTTTTGACTAATCGTGATCACCTACTTTGACAAGTTTCAAATTCAATTTACGTGTGTGAAAGAAAATTTTGTTTAACATACACACACTCATCTATTCCAGACCCATATAATAAAACTTCTGCTGCACTGTCCACCTTCAAGGAGTGCATTTAATGGAGCTGAATTTTTCAAAATTTCTATCCATAGAAAACTCCATAACACTTTGGCTGCCGCGTCACCCAAATATGGGTGACACGTGAATTGCAAAAAGGCTGAATTATTTGAATACCGTTACAAAATTTTTGCGTAAACTTAATATCGCAGAATAAATCAAAACAAGACCAACAGCCTCTATTAAATAAACGCATATATTTTCGACGATTTTTTACATAAGAAACGAAATAAAGTGTGTCTGGCTAAATAAGTACTGCCGTTTTCACTGTGGCAGTCAACGTGTTTAAAAAAATGCGACCCATATCTGTTTCTCATTTCATTTTGTTGTCATCGACATATAAACGTCCATAAACATAAAAATATAGACTGTGCATCAGGTTAGGCCGGCGCACAGTGGGACGAAGCGGGTAAATCTTTGAACATTGAATTTTCTTCTATACGACTAGTCGTATCAATTTTTTTTAAATTGTGTGTTTTTGAATGAGGCATTTAACCATTTAAATAATTTGTTTAAATCATTTGTTTAAACAATATATTAAAAAATTTATCTTTTTTCTGTACTTTTTTTTGTTAAATAATTGAACCTGAGATTATTCATTTTGTTACATATGTGGTAGCTCTAAAAAGAATTAATGTTATTGCTGGGGTAATATTTCTGAAATCAAAAGACTGATACATAAAATAAAAATTCGTGTAAATCATTCCATATAGTTTTTACAATAACGAAATTGTAAAAATTGTGTATAACATAAATTCCACAAGCGTTTTAAGTAAATGGGAAGGAAATCGAATTGCCAGACAAAAACGTTGATCGTACGCCAAACGCGTTACGTCCTCTCTATTTATTTAAACACCATTTATTCATAAGACCGTAGGTTAACGCAGAATATATTTACAGTTTCTTAAAGTAGAAACTTTGGGGATTAACGTGGTATAGATGGTTTTTTGAAACTTTTTAGATCTTTTACTATATGAACAAAAACGTAACGTTTTTTTTAAAAGGTAAAATATCCAAAACTATTCGTCGAATTCCAAATTTCTGAATGGTAGTCGGTAGTCAAATATATGTGCAATAGCCTGGTATGAATGAAAAAATTTTTGTTGGATTCATTTTAATTCAAAGAATAGGTGTCGCGAAAAGTGTATGCTCAAATCATTAAAAAATCAGATCGTTAAAAATGTCAAAATCCGAAATTGAAATTTTCGTCCATACCGCAGTTTTTACACAATTCGACCCATTATGCGGCGTCCCAAATTTAAAAAGAGACGGGTTACTTTCGGAGGACTTGCTATCTCTTTCTAATATAGCTCAATCAAACACTCAAATCAGGACTCCTAGAACCTCATCCCCCACTACTTAGAGTTAAAAAGAGATGCCAAGTCCTCCGAAAGCTAAACTCTTTCTGAATTTTTTGTCGTATCTTTATGTCTATGGTAACGCCTGACGAGCATCTGTTTCGAACATTGACACACGCGTTTGACGTTTATAGGAAATTCCACCTATAGACTGCTGTGAGCGGGCGTATAGTCCTCCGCAAGATATAGCGCGGTCGTAATTTAAGGAGTTATTTTACTTTGACGACCAAAAGTTAAGCTAACTTAGGGATTTTTTCCTCAGTAAATACAATGTATAATCGAAAGCATCTGGTTAGTATTTATTGAACTACTCATAAATATTATAAAAAGTAGCAATAATAATTTTATTATGTTTTCTTTTAAGTGTTTTCTTAGCATGAATGTAACATCTTAAGAAGAAGGTATCTCGATGGCGCAGGATGATTTGATTCTCTGACCTTAGACACATCCGAAACAAAAAATTCAACGAAATTCTTAATTAGTATGAGTATCGCTATTGCAGGAACCACAATAAATAATTTATCTTAAAAAATAACAAGATGGCGCGGCTCCAATAAAAAAAATAAAAGAAAAGCACTTTTTTCGGTGATTTTATTATGCAAAAAGCTTGATAAATTACGAATATAAACATAACTATGGTTCCTGCAACAGCGATACTCATAGTAATTAAGCATATTCTTATATTTTTTATTACAGATGATTCTAAACTGAGAAATCACCTGCGCCATGGAGATACCTTTTTTTGGGATGTCACTTTCATGCTAAGAAAAAACTTAAAACAAAACATAATAAAATTATTTTTACAATTTGTTTGTATTATTTATAAGTAGTTCAACAAATACTAACAACGTGTATTCGATTACATATTATATTTACTTAGGAAAAAATCCCTAAAAGTAGCGTAACATTTTCAGCCGTCAAAGTAGAATGACTCCTTAAAGTGTTGAGCGGCGACAACGATTGATACCGGCGTACTCAAGGCTGTATATGCGGCTTGCAACTGTAGGTTGGCACACAGTAAAATGAAAAGTACTGTCGATTAACTGCAGTTCGTTCACTACCAGGGTAACTGTAAATTATGTTTAATATTTGGAATATTCGAAGGAACTTCAACATTTCGTTGGTAGTTGTCAACAGTTATTTCGGAACTGAATTGACATTGTACGGCACTGAACGTTACTTAAGCTCCTTATTTCCCCTTTCATAGTTGAAATAGCTGTATTTACGACCACGCTAAATCTCGATGGAATCCATAACTGGGTCAGTCATGAGCATAGACAATACCGTATCCACGAATAATACTAGTTCGTAGTCGAAGATGGTCACATACGACGCCAAGCAATACTGCAATCGTTGTTCTTCTTTTTACAATGTTATAAAGAAACTTGAAATTTATCGTTATGTTACATAAACCCTTGTGTAGGTAACCAAAATATTCACGGTTATTGAGCAAGCCCAATACTTATATTCTGACAGATTGTATAAACATAGATAATTTTACTTTCATAGTTTTCCGAAATTGTTAGTTTTTCTTTCCAATAATATACCAAATGCTATTTTAGACAAGAACATAAAAAATTGTGAAAGGAAATTTAGAAATGGGTACCTGGGTAACTGGGTACCCGGTTGCCTAGACAAGGGCTAAAGCTGTTGTTCCGTCATTAAGTCCTCAGTGCAATTGCCTTACAAAGAGAGGTCCCCAGATGTATAATAACACTGACTTTTTAGTGCGGTTGAGCACAGTGATAGGACCTAGAATTCTAAAGCTAATGACATTTCTTTTAGCCACATATGGCCTAAAGAAAGAGTTGAAGAAGAAATTTATCAAATATTTAATGTTAAAGTTGTAGTCTGTGTACAAGGTGTTTGCGATCTGGTGGTACAACCCGAAAGGATGTAATTCTATATGTAAAAGTAGGTCGAAAATATAAAATAAAATTTTCTCGTACAATGCTTCGTTCTCAAAATAATCAATTTTCGAAATTCATTTAACGCGTTTGTATAATTCGTATTGACATTAAGTAGAAACGGAATCTAATGAACAGACACCTAAACCATGTCCTATTCAATTGCACGCGCATTCACTAGACTTTCAAATTTGATTATTTGAAAATGGTGCATCAGACGTAAAATTTTATTCTACATTTTCGGTTTATTTTTCCATGTAAAATCACATCCTCTCGGGTTGTACCACCAGATCGCAAACACCCTGCATACAAACTACAATTTTAACGTTAAACATATCATAAACTAATGGCCATATGCGTCTAAAATAAATATCATTGATTTCAGAATTCCAACCTCGATCTCTGTGTTAAACCTCATTAATAAAGTTAGCGTTACACCTGGGGACCTCTCCATGTTAGAACTTCGTGATCTCACACGCAGACTTAAATTTGTGGGTGGTTAGGACGTTGGAACAGATGAGAACAAACAACGATATATTAAAAAGTAAAGTAGTAACAAACGGAGGTAACAGGAATGACATAGATCTATATACAGAGATGGACTGTTTCATGGTTAAATTTTGACTAACAATTCTGGCTGGATGTGACAATGAGACAAAATGCGAGGAAGGAAGACTATTCACTACTGGCTGAACTCTAACAAAAACGATGATGATCCCCCTTACGGGTAATTGATAACCTCGTCATTGTATGTGTATCACATCCAAACAAGACAGAAAAATGGAGAACAAACCTTCCTTTCTTGTCCTTAAGCATTGTTGCTGGATTGTTATAATCAGCCTTTGTTAAAAATTAGAAAAGGATTTCTGTAACGCCTTAAGCACCTACGGTTTACGGCTGTCCAGAAATCCAGGTTTGGTAAGGTCGACGGCAATGAAACAATTTAGACTGTCGAGATCCTGGAGGCACTATAGTATATCCTCGAGTAATGTTTCGAGGCTTTTTGGCAATGAACATTAACACATTCGGTACGGGTGGGATCTGTAGTTCCCAACATGGGCGAATCTCACGGCCGCTAGGAAATAGTGATCAGACCTTTTCAATCAAATTCCCGCCTTTGGGGTATTGCAGAGGGGATTTATACATCATGTATAAACACAAGTGAATTTATCAACATCGGTGATATCTAAAGAAACAATTTGGTACTAGTCATCCATGGTAGGTGCCAAATATTTTAAGGTAAGTATCCACTAGTTGCGTATCACCGTATCGTATCACCGTTGTACACCAATGTGGACAGGTTAGCGTTCGATCGTTGCGTACAAAAATGTATCGTATGGTGATACAATACAATGATACAATACGAGGATACGCAACAAATGGATATGCACCTTTAAAGTGTTACCTAAACGACAAATCCCAGGCCGGATGGGAGCTATAGTTTCCATTAAAAAAATGTGATAAAAAAACACTTCCTATTATGTATTAAATATCTTTTAGAATACTTATAATAACATGTTGACACTAAAAACATAAAAAAGGAAAAGTTCATTCCTCCAAGCCATGGGGTCGGAAAAACGATTATAGCCTTCCTGAATGTATAAATATTTCATAAACTAATGGTCATATACAGCTGAAACAAATATAATTTGCTTCAGAATTCCCAGCTCTATCGTTGTTCTAAACCTCATTAAAAAGTTTGCGTTACATCAGAGGATCTCTTCTTGTCAGTGCCGAGGAGCCTTCGAACACTCACCGAGGATTTACTGTACTTCGCGAACGCAACAGCTGTCTAGTCGCTAAAATCCAAAAGTGACCTCCCAAAATCGCATAGACCGGATTATCGAACCCCCAGTTTATACCCTCGCGACACATTCGTTCGTGTAGAATCATTAACTTCAGCTCGATAATACAAATCCATGCCATGAAAATCTGTTTACTGATTCATGTTGTTTCAGGTTCTGACATCGATACAGAACTAGACAACCTTCTCCCGAACACGAAATTCGGTACCACCGGTGGAATGGACACAAAGTAATTGTCTTTGTGTATGACGATAAACGTTTTCTATCGATTCCTACAGATATATTCCGTACTTCTCTCTTTAGATTAGTTTTCGTGGGTACAGGACGGCTCCAGACGCCCCAGCTGATCCGCGAGTTGTCCGTGATGGATAATACAAAGTCGGAGTTCACGTCCAGACACAGTCTTGAATGGAAGTTCCTCTTTCTGGACCATCGAGCGCCACCCATTATCGGATACCTGCCATTCGAGGTTCTTGGCACCTCTGGATATGATTATTACCACGTGGATGATTTGGATAAAGTCGTCACATGCCACGAGTCCTGTAAGTTGTCGAGCAACGAAATCAACATTGAATTCGAAAATAATTTAAGATCGGTTTCCAGTGATGCAGAAGGGAGAAGGGACTTCTTGCTATTACAGATTCCTAACGAAGGGCCAACAATGGATATGGTTGCAGACCAGATTCTATATTACCTACAATCAGTGGAACTCGAAGCCCGAGTTCATCGTGTGCACCCATTACGTGGTCAGCTATATCGATGTGATTAAAGAGTTGCGTAAGGAATCCGAGAGTTTTGCAAAGGATCAGAGTCAGGACCTGTTAATGACGGTGAAACAGCAACAGGTATCACGAATTTATGTGTATTTACTGCGTTTGTTCTGCTACCTTTGTGGTAATGATTGTTCGCGTGTTGAGCGTAAAGAACGTTTTCGTTAATGGTGGAAGACATAATAATGAAGGAATTGTTATCTATTTAAGTGGAATATATTAACATTGAAAGTACATATCTTTGTTTAGTTTCAAAATATAAAATAACAAGGTGAAACAGTACCTAGTGAAGGTGTTCCGACCATTACTATTCTTATTTCTTTCGTTTAGAAGATAAAAAATGTTCAGTGCAACGTTATATATCTACACTTTTCTATAATTTTTATACATCAGTAAACATTATACTATTCTATATGTAGTAAATAGTATCTTTTTTAAATACACTCATCTCTTATACTGTGTTTTCTTTAATATAATACAGTAAATCAAAAATGTTTCCGTACATCTCGTATAGAATTATTCCGAAGATTTGTTTATCGTTCTTTTTGATAATTAATGTTGAAATTCAATTTATTAGAGGAATAAAGATATTACTACCACTTTTGTATTCATTAAAAAAATTATGTGTCTCAAACTGAAAAATGCTTGGTCCACCTTCATGATCACCTATAACTATAACCTACACAAACGTATTAAACGTAATAAAATTTGACACAGAAATCGTTGATTTATTTGATTGATCCCCCTGATTTGTGAATATCATGACGAATCGAAAATTATGAGCAGTCTTCCATAGTTCTGGACATTCTGAAATTTCATTTATTCTTGTTTCCATTGTCAGAATAATGAATATACAGTAAAGTGTCCATAAATGCCTGTTCAATTCTACAGGTGACGACGTCTTGCCCGGTTCCACCGACCCAATGGCCACCAAAATCCTCGAAGACATCAAAATCAGTAGCTTCGAACACCAGACCAAGGCATCACATCGAAAGTTCGGACAGTTCCTCGATCTCGGCATCAATGCAAAGCTCGCCACACTCGCAGCTGACGCACGTGTCGCGATCGAAAAGCACCACCGCGAACAGCTTGAAAACACAACAGATGCCACAAATCGACAATAGACAGCAGCAACAACAGCAGTCTCAACAACAAGCTCAATTAGAGATTGATCAGAGTTGTATAAATTTCATGGAACAGGCGCAGTATGCAACGGTTAATCTGCAACCTGTGGTTAGCACCGGCTTCGCTGCACCTGCTGGACCGATTCTGTCGACCGTACCTACCCACGAGGTAATAAAATCAACTGAAACAATCAGTTTTTGTTTAAGCATGTACGCAATGATGTCAGGTTTAATCAAAAAGGATAAAAGAGTAGCACTTTTGGAGTTTTGATTAACGAGAAAATTCTGATAAATTTCTTGTATTAGAGGTATCAATAAATAGTCCATTATTTTGTTTTCATAAACATGTAATTACCGTTTAAATTTAAAATATCTTCCTACTCTTTTCTTCGTTCAAAATAACGGCGAATACTGTAGAACGATACGAAATATAATTGAAATAGCATAGGCCTCTAATTTACTTGATAATAAGTACTGACTTTGACAAAATATAGTCGAGTATTGGTGCACTTAATAATTCCTAAGACTTTTGAGATAAGTCTATGCAGGTCATTATTTCGAACAAAATTATTATTATTCGTTAGAAAGTTTCGAAATAGATTATAGAATTCTATTCATGTTTTAAAGATTTAACGATAATTTACGAGCGCTTGTAGAAAACATTGTAAGTGGTACAAATCAAATTTTTCAGGGGGAAAAAAGTTACCTGTCTTTGAACTATTTACAAAATTTTATTCCTTTTTATTGTTAATTGTGACTAAGACTAGAATAACCCAAATACATCATAAAATTTTGTATTCTTTGAACGAATGTAGTGCAAGTTTATGAAAAAGATAATTGTATGAGAAAACTCAATGTGCCATGCATTTAAATTTGCTCACACTGTAAGTACCGGATCTGTTTATTCAGATTATTTCTACAGAAAACCAAAACTATAACGCTTGAATTGGTACTTACAGTGTTTTTTACACAGGCAACGTTGGACGTACCAGTGATGCCATTTTTTAGCACTATCAGTAACTATTTAAAAAATATATAAAAAATATCAAAAAAAACAGAATTTTTCAATTTTGGCACTTGCAGTGTTTTCTACAATAACTGTTCAGTTATTTAATTTAAAGAATTATTGAGTAGCCTTTGTTTCAACTCAATTCATTTTACCTAACGGCACCCACCGGCTTTAATAAAACTTACATGAGAGCTAGTTCTCTAAAAAAATATCTGACACGTATTTTTATCGGTCATTGTCCAGGTTAAGCGGGTGATAACAGCCCCTAAAGTTGAGGGATGAAAATATATTTTTTGGAATATCTCAAACACTAGAGGGAGTAGGACAAATTTGTTTTCAAATTGTATGCTTTTGATTGGGGAATTTATTGCCATAACAAAATTAAACCAAAAGTTCAAATTTTTAATATATCATTTAAACAAATAATTTTTTCTGAAATTTTCTTATGTGACTAAATTCCCCGCTCAAAAATTCACAATTTGAAAAAAATGTTTCCTATTCTGTAATGTCTCTACCTAAAAGTAGTTCCCGTGATATTCTAAAAAATATATTTTCATTCGATATGTTTCCTTGTAAGATGTATAAAAATGGAATGAATGATTATGTTAGCTACCATAACTTTCGTGAGAAATTTTTTTTTATTATAATCTGAAGATCCGGGGATATGTTTAGATGTTGCATCAGCAAGGTATTGTGATGACATCGGCACAGAATCAAATTCAGGACGAACTGCAACGCAAGCACGAGGAACTGCAACAGCTGATTGTACACCAGCAAGAAGAACTTAGGAGAGTGTCAGAACAACTGTTTATCGCCAGATATGGAATTCTGTCGCCGTTACTCAATGCAAGTATCTGATTACGTAAGAAGTTTTGAAGTTTCACAAAAGCTTCCGATGGAACTTCCTAATACCTATGGAAACTACAAAAAAATTATATAATATATATATACATATATAAATACAATTTCGATGTATTTCAGGTACATGACAAATTTTATAAAAATTTAGGGATATACGTTCGAGTCTCTTTAATAGAATCATTGCGTAGGGAAGTTAAGTAGTTTGGTATGCTCAAATATTCCTCGACCTACTATCGAAATAGAATTAAACATAGAAGTAATATAAGTCACTCGTTTTTTGGTTAAAATTCGTTTAAAGGTTCAAATTTGATTAACATGTAATAAATTTGTTTTAACTTACACAGAGTAATCTCTTCCAGGCCCATATATTAGACCTTTTGCTGCACGGACCACCTCAAAAAAGTCAAATTGATGCAACCGAATTTTTCAAAATTTCTAAGCACAGAAGATTCCTTAAACACGTTTGAACGATTTGATTACCAAACACTACCCATACGCCTCGATTCTTGCCGCTAGTTCGCGAAACAATCCGGCCACGACTTGAGGTCGATCGACTCAATCGGCCGACCAAAAATACCCCCAATGTAAACGCCGTTGTTAACCCTACGATGCATAACTCTGGCGTTTACCAAATTTAAATATCGTGGGTGAAAAAGACCTATAGCAGCTTACACAGTATAAAACAAATTTTTGTATTTATAAATTAGCACTATTATAAACATACAGATAATATTAGTATGAAAACTTGCTAATTACATTTTTTATACATATAAATTATACGTTCTTTAGATATCGCATTTTTACAGTTGATACAAACTCTATCACACTTTCTGTCCTTTTTGGTTGGGCACATTTAAGCAATGTTTTTTTTTATTGGAATTTTGGTCGGCATCTCTTCTTTTTCTGGTACATCCATGAATTATCTAATATCTTCCACAATACTTCTGTATAAATGAATATTTCTAGATCTTCTTTTCATATATGGCATAATAAGCTGCGTAGACAAAAACAGTCTTCCTTCGTCACTTCTCTCTTTCTTATAACCAGAATTTTCGTTCATAAATAAAATATAAGCATTTAATGTAGCTACATCCATTATATTACTCCAAACTACATACTCATTAACAAAGTCTGCAACTAACGCACGGAGTGTTCTGTGACACAGGGCAGATCTAATCGTAACATTCTGAATATGTTTAGTCTATTCAAAATTGCATCACTATAAATTAAGCTAAAATATCTAATAATGTCAAATAATAAACATTAGACTGGACGTGTAAACCAAATCTGTACAGAACTATGTGTGCATATCCAATTGATGGGTATAAAACACCCACCATATGAAAATTACGATGAAATTTGAATTCCCACTTTTTTTTCTCTTAATTATTCTGTTATTAAGTCATTGTTAATGTTGAAGTCATTATTACATATAGGGGAAGGTTGCCGAATTTAGATCACAGCCCAGATTAGACCATTACTGGAACTTGTCATGTGTAAGCAATTTGCGCCGTATGATAGACAATATGCGTTGCTTATACACTAAGTTAGTTAATGGAATCACCACCATCATACACATATTGTCTATAATACGGTGCAAATTGCTTGCATATGACAAGTTGTAGTAGTGGTCCAACCTAGACGATAGTCCAAATTCGGCTATATTCCGGTATGAATTCGCAAGGAAGGAATACACAAAGCCAGATGCAATTATTTCATTATACAAGACAGAAATCTAAGAATAAATATTCAAGTGGCTATAAAATACCCACGCTATGCGTCCTAGGGTTAACTATTCTAATGATTAGACTGCGGATTTTATGCATTTTATAGCCTATAGGTCTCTGTGAAAAACAATGAGGGACAGACTTTCGTCAGATATGAGTTGTCTATTTTCTTTTGAACCCCATAAGATACTTAAGGGAAGACCGAAATGTCTACCTTTGTTTTTGTCTTTATGAACAACCTTCTGAAATGTAATTTTGCATAAAAATCCGCAGTCTACTAATAATAGTCTTATTGCGAAATTCTATTCTTATCCATGTCAAAACTGCAATCGAGCGCATTATACCTAACTCAAACCTACGTTGTTCCACATTTCAGGCGGGCATGCCGTACAACACAACGAACGCTTGTCAGCCAATGAACCGATGCAACACGAACAATTCGAACGTGCAGCTGCCCCCATCGAACAACGTGCAAGGTGTGAACGTGCTCCCTTTGCCGATCACGGTTCCAGTTCCACTGGTACCCACCGAATTATTCTCTCACCCGTTACCAGTCAGCCCAGTGCCAACGGTGTCGACCACCGCGCAAGGGAACGTCGGCACGATGATCCAAACGCAACAGCAACAGCATCAGCAGCTGCAGCATCAGTCCCAGACACAGCAGCAATCACAGCAACAGGGTCCAACGCAGCAAAACGGCAACCCTCCTGATCTCGTGCCTTTCCAGATCTGCCCACATCAAGCCAACATGTTATACAATGACATAGAACCGCCGTCGAACCAACAACACAGACCACCACCGAATTGAACTGTTCTCCTTTTCACATCGTCGTTCCGCCTTTAGACTGAGACTCCTTGATTTCCGACTTATTCCACGACGAGGGGATAATTCATCGAGCAATCGAAAGAAAAAAACTTCACGAACGAAGCCCACATGGTTTTGTGGATTCCGCTATTGTTTTTTAAAAGACACGCGACGGATTTAATATAGTTGATATTTTTATACGTGAGATGTACAGAAACGATATTTCGTAACGGAACAACGGACGGGTTCCGTGACTCTTCTCGATGAAGAAAGGTACACTTGCTCTGTATACCCGTCCAATTAGATCAGTGTTGTCAAACGTAAACTCAGGAGCTTGGGATATCTTCCCAATTTTTTTATTATCGTCAATTCTCCCGTTGCACCACGATTATCACGGTTGGAATGTCCTCTGACGTTATGATTTATCAAATGACCAGTTCGTACGTCGGATCTGTAACGGTTGAATGTACGGACACGAGGTACGCTCCGTTTTGCTCACTCGCGTAACGATCTGTTAAAACTTTTGCTTCAACACTGAAGTCGTATGGAAAATCGTTATTTATCGTGATCCAACTTGTAACAAGAGAGATTTTATACAAGAACCATGCGATTGTTGCGCACATAGCTACGATCATCGATCAAACAGTCGCATCGATGTTGGCCAACTAATCGTACGTTAAATAATAACGTTCTGTGTCCTCTTGTTTTGTTCCTATGATAGATGGACAACTCAATCTGTGGCGGAGTAAAAGCTGGAATACTTTGGAGCACGGTTGTGAATAAGAACAAGAGCGAAAGATTTCGAGTAAAAGTCCGTTATAGAGGGTGTCGATCGTAGTACAACAGAGAAACATATCGAAAATGTAAAATTAAAATTTTTTTACATGGAATTTGCTTTATGAGAAAATTGAATTTGAACATTTATTGTACACGCACCTTTTTGACAACCAATAGCTAATATGTGCTATAATATTATTTATTTTTGTGAAAAATTAATAATATTTCGACACTGAATATTTGTAAACATTAATACAAGTATTAGTAATCAGTGATAAGTGTATACAAATGTATATCAGTACACGTATCAGAAGAAATCCTGAACTCGATTTCCTCGAAAAGAAAGCTCATTTAAAATGAAATGTTATTCAATATTTTAGTTTTAATTTTAGTTTTTAGTTAAAAACATCTCCGTTTCAGTTGTACCACGATTTACTGGACACACTGTGTATCGTCAGTAAAACAAGTATAATGACTTTCTTAGGGACTACCTCAAGTGACTCTGCAAAAAAGAAATATTGTAGATATGGTTGATGGATAAGATACAGCGAACTTATAAGATCTTTTTGTCCGACATGTTTTCACACCTTGGGACGATACTCTTGACAAAAATTCGAAATGGAAATGTTTTTAATGCTTGTCCAGAATCGCAAAAAGTATCTCAGCTCAAATCCAACTCCCCATTATGTACTATCCCTGTAAAAACCAGCCTGATTCCGAAATTGGAACGCGTGTTGACAATAAGACTTGTTCAATACCAGTGCAAGACCTGCTTAGGAGTTAACACTTCACGAGTTCGCTATATTTTGTCTATGAACTGTAAGAATCGCCAAAATAGTTTTATCATGCGGGTAAGACAAAATCTATCGATAGCATGGCTTCAAGTATTGAATTGGCCAAAAAGTAGGTGCAGTTTTTAAGCCGGGTAACATAACCAATGTTGATGCAAACGGTTTTCTACGTTTGATTTCGATACTTGGAGAATTTACGCAATTTCCCGCGTTCTGTGACGAAGATTATTGTCGATTAAACACTTTACTTGTAAATCTCTTGTGGACAGCTCGAGTGTGGTGCATCTTGGAGTGAAAAGAAAACGAAATTTCACTAACCACTTCTAACACAGGCGCTCTTCGGTAGAATTCTATCCGTACACCTTGCATGACTTTTTACAAGTTTGTGTGGTGTTTTTTTCCTTTTTGAGATAGAACAGAAAAATATGCTAAAAATGCTTCTTTTGGATGTCCGTCTTTATAATTATACCAAAATTATAGAATAAACCCTGTCTTCAAACTTTTTGGTTAAAATGTACGGTTAAAGTTAGCTATCAATTAATCGTGTGCCTTCAAAATTTGAACTAAAATTAATTATGTTTAAAATTAATTATTGCCTAAAGGCAACTATGACCAGAAAACCGCACGAACTTTGCGGCCAACCAAATTAGTAAGCCCATGGACATTGTTACCAATTTCTCAATCCGGCCTTCTAACTGTATTGTTTGACCGCTAGAGGTACCCTGACTGAAGGACTTGCCGTTCGTCGGCACCAACTTTATTACTCTTCTAAAAAAAGTTACAGAATAACTTGATCTAAAACGTATTCCTCATTACTAAGTACAACTTTTTCCCCATTTATTTAACGGCTCATCAATCCCCGGAGGAAAAAAAGTTAAGTAGCTTTGAGAAAAAGAACTTGTCAATGAACATCCATATCTCCAAAACGAAATTTTGGCGAACCAATTCCGTACTATACGTTCTGATAGTACACCTTGACCAATAACATCACATATTTTGTTCGTGGTACTAGTATGCTGTTTTGACTTCTCCATATCAACTACACCAGAAATTGTACTAGTACACGATCTACATTTGCTAACTGTTGTTTTTAGACTGTTTTATCGTTAGACATAGAGTAACCACCATGGCGGCAAGGGACTGCAGGTCATTTGAAATACTTGACAAAAATTTATCACCCAGCACCTGCACGAGCAATTACTCATGACTCAATCCAATATTTTCCCATTGACAATACACCAACGCACTCGTGTGCATACTCAATACATACTCCACCTTAGGACCACTGCTCAAGCAGGCAAGGTTTCGTCCTTGCGGCTAGCTATCTGCGGATGCTAGAAGAAAGGCTCTTTCTATGCGTAATAAGTTGCGTCTATGTCTGCCGTGGATACCGCCAACCAAATACACATCCAATAGAAGACTTCGGTAAAAGTGAATGAAAAAAAGTAAATTCCGCCGAAAGTAGTAGCGTTTTTTCATTCATTAGTATCTGTCATTAGCCACTACAACCATCAGCCTGGTACAACAGAATAAGCCACGTGAGTTTTTACGCATGCGCGTTACGAAACCGATCTTGGTCAAGCTGTGCGCACAATCGTACTGTATATGTATAAACAGCACGCGGCATATGCAGCCGTGGCGATAGAAATATATAAGTGGCCGAAACCGTGGACAGCACTGAACTAGACGATGAAACAACTTAAAATCACTGAGAACTGCTTCCATTAGATACATATGTATTTGTAACCATGTATTTATTCCCCCTCGTATAGAAACCTTTGACATGCTGATGTTGTTTACCGAAACCCTTGAAAAGGGTTGCTGAATGTCTACCGTGCGTACATACATATATACGTGTAAATTGTGTATTTTAAACGTGCGAAACTGGACGAAACACTTCACGGGACCGGACGAGGATAGCTTGTTTCATTTACGAAAGTACAAAAACGCATGTGGAATCGCTTGGAAAGGTGGTCTGAACAGGAACATTCTGTTTCCAGATAGCCTAATTACTTTTATGGTGTTCAAGAGCTGATGGAAAACGAAGACCCGCATTTTGTTCGGGAACAGGGTATATATATATATATGATAAATGTATATGTATATGGCGAAAAAAGGAAGAAAGTAATATATTTTGTTGTAAATGTATATTGATAAACTTTTCATATGTATCTGTAATGTAGAGAATGATGTGTATTATTGAATGTCGAAATCGATATATTTTATAATTGTTATTGAATGGATTATATATATACTGATGGAAATTCGTACACATTCCAAGGGAGCAACGCGAGGAACATGTCTGACTATTTTATGTTAAGGCCATAACATCCCCGTTTAATTGTACATGATACAAAGATTGGGAACAAATACATACAACATCGAAATAAAGGAATCTTCCTTGACCGCTGAAATCAAAATTTCATTCTTTTGTAATTACAACGGTTCTGTGCATGTGAAATCAAGAAACATTTGGACAGTGAGGAGAGAGCTTAATCTAGAAATTCCTCACTCTCCAGCATGATCTCGAATAGGTACATCTAATGCTCCAAAAGTGATAGTAACAAATTTGCGTAACCCCCTTTCCTTTGTTATTATATGAAAAATACGATGTGAAATATTTGTTTGAAACCACTAGGATCTCTTTATAGATACTTGAGATCAATGTCGTGTCTGTGAAAGTAAATGTTACACACACTGTTGCTCGACCAGGTTTGGTTATGCCCACCATAACTTGTCATGGAACAGATTGTGGGAAATATTTCCTTATCGAGTTGAGTGTAAATGTAGTCAAAAGGACATAAATTATTAATAGCAGAAAAAGAACGATTCAATATAGTATAAAAATTTTATTGATTCAATATAATGTTGACATCGCCAATCTTGTTCTCGTGTGTTCAATATCTGAATGTGACTTTAAAATAGTATATTATACAAAAACTTGCGCAGGGACTGGCTGCAAGCGTACGTTTAAGGATTTATGCTACTTAGTTAATAATTACACTAATTGTTACACGGTGTCGACGAAGAATGTAGTTCTACTGTTTCAGTTTCCTTAATGCGTCCATTAAAATTTGTACTTCTTGATTCACGTTATAAACCAGATCTTCAATCTGATGCTTGCTGTCAATTATATTGATGCTCTGAGTGTACGGATCGTATCGGACTCCGAACTTTCTTGGGATACTCTCAGCGAATTTGCTGAAATTATAAAAACAATAGACCATTAGCGAACACAACATTTTTCCGATTACGTATACTTTCATCCCAATTCTTTATTTTCACGACTCGACCATTAATTAAATGGAAAAATTAATCTTCCTAAAAGAACTCATAAAAATATGTCTATGATTATTGATTTTCAATGATGTTTTTTTTCTTAACAGAATACTATATTTGTGAACAGATATCTCTCGAGAGTAGAACTGGCCTTCAGAGTTCTCGATCGACCATTTCCATTCATTATGACGATACGTATGTAAGTAGCTTTTTGCGATCTTTTTCCATTCGGGGAATTATATTATCAAAAAATTAATTCAATCTCATTTACACATTTCGTTCGGTGATATTCAGCTCGAAAGTATCAACATTATTCTTCGTACGAAGCAAACGAGAGATGATTCGCCGCGGTTCGCAGATAAGATAATCGCGACGCGTAATACAGCACCGAAGCCTGATTTACTCACATCATTTTCTGTTTTGCATCCTCAAAATCCTCAGCGACGAAGTAGACAGGTTGATATTCCGTTATCGGATATTTTTGCAACGCTGTCTTCGACGGTTCAAAAGGTCGCAGTTCTGGTTTGCCACTTAAACAATATTCCAGCTCCCCGAACGAGGAGAGCAGGCCAGCACCGTATGCTTTCAATTCGCCATTTTGCCGACATATACCGTATTCCACCGTAAACCAAAAGCACTGAAATATATTTAAAATCCACGCCTGTTAGTCTAACGAAAGGAAAACAACCAACAAGGGAACTTCGATAATCTGAAAATTCTAATTTTTCTAAAAGTTTCCAGGTTTTTAGGAGACCTCGACAGAAATAGAATCAAGCAATTTGTTCTTCGCTGGTTTTTTGTCCCTTCAGAGTGAAAACAGCCCTTATAGATTAACGCGTGTTTCTCTATTGTTCTGTATACCTTGAAAACTATTATTATAGATACGAAAGAAACTGTTAGAATGACTATTTTAATGGTTTTTCCTAATCTGTAAAAGTGTGCGACAAAATTATTAAAAACTTCTTGTTTAGGTAAATGACAAAAAGAAAATAAATTTTGTTTTTAAAAAGAACAAAATTTGCTTTCAGGAAAACCATAAAATGTTCATTGTTTTTATATCTACTATACATATAGTTTTCAAGATATACTGAAAAATAGGAAACATGCATCTTGACATCTAAGGGGTCTTTCATCCGGAAATCCAAGAAGTAACCAAAAAAATATTGCCCGATACTTCCATGGAGGATCCTGCAAACTTGCAAAATTTGAGAAAAAAAATCGGAATTTTCGGGTTACCGAAGTTCCCTTGTAAGTAATCGCGATATAGTGTGTCGAAACAAGTTAATTCACCGTGGCAAGTTTCTCAATATATTCGTCCGGGGCGCCAAGAGACCCCATGCCGACAACTTGACAAAACTGAGCGAACGAAGGATCGGCGAACAGCGGTACGTGGCCAAGTACTTCGTGACATACGTCCGGTTCCGGTGTGTATAATGGTTTACTGCCGTGTCTAATATACTGCGTGCAATGGAACACTCTGAACGCTAGACCGGCCAGAAAGTCTCGCGAGGACAACAAACCGGCCACTGGACGAAGCGTGAAACCCGTGCAATCTGTGAACAATTCGGTGAATTTATTAAAATCAGTTTGAAATCGAAGACATTGAGGGTGCAAGAACCGGTCATCCCCAGAAATGAACGATTTTTCAGAAAGTAAACTTCCCCGACAATTGGATTGAACATTTTGCCTGTTTATTTATTATAGTTTCTTTGAAATCACTCTTTTTAAAACATTTATTGTCTTATGGAGGTGATTGATATTTGCCCCAAACAAGTAATGATGTACGCCAATGACTTTTTTAACGTTTATAATGATATACAAAAAATTAATTAATGAGGATACAGAAACATAGTAGTTTCGTAGTATAAACATTATTCGAAATTTATTTGAGCACTAGTGACACATCTGAAGCATCCGATTTACTTACTTCGCTAATTCCTGATTATTATCGTCTTTATCGTTACAATAATATACTATATTCGAACTATAAATAAACAAAAAAAAAGCAAAATTTCGAACTTTTGAGGAAGTCTCTTGAGGAATACTCTTTATAGTAAATATAGTATTTGTGGCATTTAATTGTTTCTTGCACCAAACCATAAAGTTCTTTTTTTTATTAGTAGAACACGTTCTAATCTAAAAATGGCCAAACATGGAGATGACCGGTTTTTGCACCGAAGTCTTGAATTATTCTTTAATGTTCAATACTATTTTAGTAACACCCAATAACTATTCACTTTAGAATCGTCCGAGTAACTATTTAATTTATCATCTTTAGAATTCTTCGAATAATTGTTGAGTTGAAAATCATTAAGCTTTCAAAGTTTTCATATTGCCTTAGCTTTAATTGCTTGGCAATAGTTTAAAATACGCTTGGAATTTTCTTAATAATTGTTTACCTTTCGTGGACCTAGAACCTACCTAATGACCATTTAGTATCTTTATCAGAATGATTATCATCATTCGGTTTAGAATTTTTGCATAGTATTTCCTCTCTACAATCGCGCTTTGTCAACCCACCCCTTTATCTACATATGCCAAACGAGTTATTTACTAATGAAACAATTCTAAAATCTCATCAACTGCTCCTTATAAATGTGTTTTCAGTTCCAAACGAAACGACTATACCATAGGGAAGAATACCATACGCAAGATTTATCCTACAGTGTTTTATAGAATTTTGTTCAAATAATACATAGTAAAAATAAATAATCTGCAATATTCGTTTAAAAAAAGGGTTACCTTAACTTCTAGAACTGAAATTCCCATATTTCTTCAATGAAGAATAACAATTGATGTCTTATCGTTTATTCGTTACTCAATATGTATATCTATGTATATCTGCTTTCCAGTAATGATTCACATTCGTCCAGAAAATGGGGTACCTTTCAAAAAGCTCGATATATCCTGGAGCTGAGGAATGTTGTCCTCCCTATAACCGCAGTTCTCGATAAGCAAAGGGAAGACGTGATTGTGCTCCTTGCACGCATATTTTGGGTATAGTTTCGTCAAATTTCGAAAAACTACACCCCACGTATCAGTTTCCTCTTTGGTGTATTCCACCCTAGGAATGGGTTGACCACTAGAAACGTCAAATTAATGTCAGTTTTAGTGAACTAGTTGGAAATGTACTACTTGAAACAGGTAAATTATTATTTAATACAGAACCAAATTAAATATCATAAATGACATATTTAGCGAGTATACTTTATTATGTATAAATATAGATTATACATAGCTTACGTCCATAATTTTTACTTTATTTTCATTGACGTTTATGAAACATCCCTCGAAAAATGTTGAATGACGTAATCTAAGAATAGTTTAACAGGCACTTTTAACCCCGCTAACTGCATTCGCTCACTACAGTGGACACCTACTTCATCACTTTATTTGTGAACATTTCTTGACAAATGGCAGTACGAACCTTCTTTGAATGACATTCAAACATTAGAAAAACAATGTTACTGTAACTACTAATGCCGTTATTTATCGTGAGCAAATACATTGTTTATTAAAAAATTTGTTTAATGCGTTAAGCAGTTTTAAAACGACTATTGGTTCTTGACTTTATGAAACCAAAATTTTTGTACAAGATAACAAAAAGATGCGGTAAGCGGGTTATAACATTATTTCTGACTATCGCGGTTAACCTTTGTGTAGGCAATCGGGTACCCGGGTACCCAGATAACCATTTCTAAATTTCCATTCCCAGTTTTGTATACTCTTGTCTATGGTAAAATAGTACTTTATATATTACAGGAAGAGAAAACTAAGAGTTTCGGACAAGTATGAAAGTAAAATTTATCTATGTTTATCTAATCTGTTAAAATAGAGGTATTCCGATTGCTCAGTAACCGTAAATATTTTGGTTGCCCATACAATGGTAAAAGTTGTATAAAACTTACTCTCTGTAGTTGTAAGCCAAGTCAGCGAAGTATTTCCGTCTCTGTCTGTATACAGAATCCGTGAAGCCAGGATGATCGCTGTCCAGTTCTGCCCCGTACGACAGAATTTGATTAGCGAATTTGTCCAAATCTCTAATCCTCCTTGGGAACCACGGCACGGTTCCCATATTGTCCTTATGATTTCTGCGAAAGAGGAATAAAAATTGGCATTCGCACGGGAACCGATGTAACGTTTAAACGATAATAAATTCGTATCTATATTAGTCACCTGGAAATGATCGAGAAATAACTGCATTGGTCGCGTAAATTCTCGATCATAGCACCGAGGTTTCCACCCGGCGCACACTCCACCATGAATTCGTAGACGTTCGCATGGCGAAGGGAGCTTCTCGATTCGATATGCAACAGATTAACTTCGTGTCGCTGAAAACGAAATCGTTCGAATGAGATTTTATGTAGAGACACACGGACAATATTCAAAATACAACATAATGTCTGCATTACGAAAAGTGACAGCTTTCGTTTATCTTACGAAAAACAACACCTTTGTCTTTGCTGTCACGAAAAATATTACGTTTCGTTTCTCACCGCGTAAAGTAACAGGTCTGAATGGTTTGGCTGCGAAAACAATCTTTTTTCAAGCATCGTCTTTCGGGGTCAAGGGGTCATGCTCAGTCAGGAGGCCGAAAAAAGAGTGTTCTTTGGGAATTTTTTTCTCGAAAACTATAAGGCCTTCTTCAAAAAATGTGTTTGTGTTTCAAAGATTGCAGTTTCTAGATTATAAGGTAATTTTTTTATTTAAAAATATTTATTTGCAAATAAATGGTGAGCGATCTCCCGGATGTCTCTTCACAAAAAGTGGTCTGCCGTGATCACTGTAACTTCGTAACGATTCATCTGAAATTAAAAATTCAGTAATATTTATGTAGAATAGATTCATCTATTCGTCTTGTTCCTCACTGTTATTACGTTGAGGGAACAAAATATAACGTTAAAAAAAATAATAGTGTTGATATTGACAACATCGAAGAAAACAATCGTTAAACATATTTTCTACTATAACGTGTTTACTCCTTGTAACCATCGATTTCTCGTTAACACACACTTATATAATATCGATATAACAAAAGTTATTAAGGTTGCCTGTTTCTAAGAGACCATCCTGTATAGGTTCTTATTATGGATCTAAATGGTTACAAATTAATTCGCGAGGCAAAGAAATGCTTTTTCATTTCTTCTGTGAGAATTTTCAATTTTTCGTTTGTCGACCATATTTTGTAATGAAATTAATTGTACTTACAGCGAATAATTGTAGATATTTTCCCAGTGCTCCAACAGAGTCATCTTCTTTCGGAGAGAAAATCAGACAGGTACTTCTCACGGAGTCCCTGCCTTCTTTGATGTAGTTCCCACCGAATACGAGTCTTGGCTTTTAAAAGATAACAAAATATTTTCATATTTATTTACATATTATAAGTTACGAAGTATTAAAGATCTGTTAGTTAATTTTCAATCTGTATTCACTTCATCTTAAATCGAAATCATTTAACACATATTAAATCTACCTGCAACTTCTCCAATAGGCTTTAATCTCAGCCCACATGTAAGAACCTCTTTCATACCCATATATTATGAAATGAAAAAATTAGAATGCATTTTAAAATTTATTATTCTTTAAAGCAGAATGTATCATTTCTTTGTGTTCTGTTCATTAATCACCGTGTTATGCCCTATTTGATCTTGTTTTAGCTGCCCAGTGACATAAGTTGTGCAGTCTCAATAACGTAAGTATTGTGTTTCCTCATTTTCTTGTTTATTTCGATGGTCGCTCAGAACGTGAAAAGTTTGTATGCATTAGAATTACAGTCAAGTTTAATTCAAGTAGTGTCATAAATTGTAATTTAAACATTGAATTTAAGTTATCTTAAGTTTGAATTTAAATTAAGTTTAACTTGAATCTTTATTAAATGAAACAAATTTCATCTGAATCAATCAAATTCCACTGGGGAAATTATCGAAACCGTTATTAAATAAAATTAATGAAAAATTCTTACATCTGGCGTCATTACCGTAGCCTCGTTCATCGCACAGAAACTGATAATCTACGAGACCGTCTTATGCCCGGTGCGACAGGTATACAGAAACTACACTACATTAACTCGTCACACGTCTATTTTATACAGACAGAAGCGATCCCCTCTTTCATCTTCGGTTTGTTTTTCATAACATTAAGAAAGGAAAATTGGACTTTTTGGAGCTACGTTATTCCAGCAATTGAGATTACTATTTCCCACGATACATCGACGTGAAATTGCACGCAATTCACGCGTCATTAATCTGTGATTTTTTCCACGAAAATGCAATAAGGACTGTTAACAACAGGGACTTCACGAACGTCAAGTGTAATTTCTGCCGGTTTTGCATCATACTAATTACGACCGTGAGTTTGGTTGCCAAGGTCGATTTCACTGTTCAAAAGTGACTTTTGGATGGACACACGGTGAACGTAAAGCGGCCGCACTGAAACAACTCGTAGAGATACCTGGAGATTTCTTCGGGACCGATCGATTAAACGTTCGACAAGTGTTATTATAAAAGACATTCACTGAAAAAGTGTCATAGAAACCGTAATTGCCTCAATTGCATTCTTTCAGAGCTACTGACTCTTGAAAGTTGCTGATTGTCGGCTGAAATCGTTTCTCTGTACACCTGGCCGACCAGAGCTATTAATTGATTTTGATTTTATGGTTCCGTTATAATATCATTAGGTATAAATGGATCATGATGTTGCTTTCATTTTATAATACACCCACAAATTCTTTTACAGTAACCAAAGAGAATGTAACATTCTTTTCTTGTATTAGGTAATTTATTAAAGTAAAAATGAAGACTGTAGTTGACTTTAACATTTATACTTTCATTATGCTTTTTTCATCTCCATATGACACAGATAAAGATTATAAAAGAAATATCGATATGCAACCACTATTATAAAATAGTTTTATAGATTTCCCAATGATGTTATAAAAATTTGAATTGCTTTAATCCGACGTAGTGTGTGTTTTTAATCATTGCATATTATACATAAGCGTGCAAGTACTTCTTTTATACATTGAAAAAAATTATTGAACCACGTACAGGTAAGGAAAAAGACTTTAAAATATCACATCGTTTAGTATTTTACACGTAATTGAGTAATGTCTTAAATTAATAGAATTTACGTTTCTATCACAAACTGTTTTCGATAATCGAATTGTTTCGACAGAAGGGAACGCACATTGTGTCTGAATCATATATTTCACAGCAAACTGTTTCCATTAGAATAGTAATTTTAATTTAACATCAGTAAACAATACCTTCCATAAAACAAACGCTAAACTTGCAGTTTTGAAAACGAAACATAACGGTTGATGGGTGTTCTCGTACACAAGGATGTCGGAAAATGGGAATTCACCGATTTATTAAAACTTTGAGATTATTCCCGGTATTGCAACTGAAAACAAAAACAATTATATACACAGACAATTATGCATAGGAAAGTATATCGATAAAGTTTGATTTGAGCAATTCATGAACACTCAGTAGATGGAAAAACGAACAATCCTTCTCCTTCCATTTATAAAAAAAAACATCGTTGTGAGTCGGTGATTAACGTGACACAAAAAAATTACATACTTCACGCACGATCGACTTCTATATAGATCACGATGAACGACAGATAGACGCTGTCGAAACATCATTATCTTTTCCTTTAACTGGAATCTTGAATCATAAATTCCTTGATGATCGCACAGCAGTCGAAATAACGAAACGTTTCTTTTTTCACGAACGCAGCAGTATATTCTTTTTACTTTTAACATTCAATGTCTGAAAATTTGTTTTATCTTCACAAATTCAAATAACTTACAAAGGAACATCCCCAGAGCGGAATTTTTTTCGTTCAAACTGGCATAAATTTGTAGAGAAGTACAAACTATTGAACACGTATTATATTGTTTGTGCAGAAAATTGGTTTCAAGAGATGAACAGCACCTCTCAAAATTCGACGCTTGAAACATACTTTTTACAATTATGTGCAAACTAATCGTCGTATCGGAATAATGCTTGAAACGAAAGTTGCTCGATTTTTAACGTAGAATTATATTGGTGCATAAAAACATGTGTCAACTGCGGTGTTAAAAAAAATTCTCCTCCACCAAGAATTTGTTAATATAACAAGGAAATACGTGTTGTATAGTTTTTTATTCTCTACAGATTGATGCCAGTTTGAATAAAAAAAAAATGTTCGCTCTGGAAATGTTCCCTTGTTAGTCGGAAGGAGTAAAATTTGCTCAAGATCAAGCAAAACATTCTAGAATATCCTTGAGTTACTTCGAGGATATTATTGTTCAGCAAATGATAATTTGTTTAAACCGATACTGACATAATTAATAAGTACAGTGGGTCAAAAAACTATTCGTACACCCTTTAGAACAGAAGACCTCTTTCAAAATTGGACCACGTGACTTGAGTTTCTTTATGAAGTTAGAAGGATTGGTTTATTAAATGATGTGTTAAAAACATTTTGAAAAATTTGCGACTTTTCAGAATGACGAAGAAAATAGTAAATGTTTTTTTACAACTTTTTTGTCTGAGACTGTAATGAAAATTTAATAAATACATTTCGAAGATTTATATTAATTATATACATCGATTAATACAGAAACGAATAAAAGGCATCGAAAGATGTAAGAATCTTTAGATATACTACAGTTGTAGGTCAAAAGTCGCGAGAAACTGCGATTTTCAACATTTTTAACCGTTTTCATTTTTAAAATTTTCAGCATGCATATAACTAACATAAATCTCAGCAATGTATTTATTAAATTTTCATTACAATCTTAGATAAAAAAGTTACAAAAAGCGACCTTTACTATTTTCTTCGCGATTCCGACCAATTGTAACTTTTTCAACGTTTTGTTACCACATCATTTAGTACACTAATCCTTCTAACTTCACAAGAAGCTCAAGTCACTTGGTCGAATTTTGAAACAGTTGTTCTGTTTTAAAGGGAGTACAAATACTTTTTTGACCCACTATATATTCAAGGTAAATTTCTTGTTCACGAATATTATTGACCCTATTCTTGACCAAATTGCAAAACTGTTTTCCTTGGTCAAATTGCGAAATATTCAGTACTATTGAAAATTATCAAATTCAGTTAACTATCGAAGGCGTCTGCGTAAGTAAATTACAAATATTATGATCCATCGTACAAGGTCACATTTTTATAATACGCGTTTATCAGTGCACTCAATTATAATGTAATCGTTTATACGCGTATTCAATTGCATTGACATTCGGGACCATTGAAAGATTATGCGTATTTAATAATTTTGTAATCATTGCGTCCACATGTTATCTAGAAAGTCATATGTAATCACGATCTATAGGACTAATATACAATGTATAAACATTAAGAATATTTCTTCACAATCTCTCGAGGGATACTAGAATATGTGTGTAAATATGTACGTTTAACCCTCCGAGCACGGTCCCTGGGTCACGCGTTTGCGAGAGAGACATGCACACAGTGACAGAGTCAGGAGTGGGGACACGCGGTCTCGAGAGCAACACGCACGCAGTGACGGAGCTGCGTGTAAATCGCATAGCGACCGATGTTTGTTTACATGCGAACGACCGGGCCAAGACGCCGCAGAAGTATTAACTAATAAATATAATTTGTTTTATAATTCACGAGATTTTTATTCTAGTTAGTGTAATAAGATCCTATTGCAGGGCTGTGAGATAGCTACCGGCGTTTTGAGCCACAGCTGCGGCCTTGGGGGGGAAATCGCACTTCCCCTCTCCCGGGAGAACTTGGCATAAACTAAACTAAAAACTAGTGTAATAAGAACCACGAAAATCCAAATGTAATGTGGAACCAGCTAATCATTACATTGTATACATGGTGACGGTGGCTCGAGCTTGAGCCAGACTGACACTGTGTTGTACAGTGTCGGTGAGGGCCTCGAGCTCGAGCCTCGCCGTCGCTGTGTAGTAGTAGAACATCGGTGTGGGGTCAGAAATGACATAGGGACCGGCTACCATGTTTCCGTGCTCGTAGGTTTAAACATGGATTCAATATCCGAGACTTAATGAAATAATGCGAAATATTTAGAAGTGGTGTGAAGAGAGATAAATTTGGTTATTTGCGTCCGATATTGCATTCTAAAGAGAATGTCGAAGCAGATAGGGATTCGCCTGTCAGAAATATTGATACAGAAATATTGATGACAGGGAATTGTCAAATACTGCATTTTCACAAATAGTCAAAGCTTTTGGTACCCCGTCCACAGACTTGTTTGCGTCAATATGTAATTCCAAATGCCACGATTACTGTTCTTGGCATCGAGACCCAGAGGCGTTAGCGGTAGATGCGTTTACATTAAATTGGAAACACCTTAATTTTTGTGCACTTCCCCTGTTTTCGATGATTGTTAAAGTGTTACGAAGGATCATACAAGACCAGGCACAAGGAATTTTAGTATTTCCAAAATGGTGCGCATAGCCATGATTTCCATTACTAAAGTCATCACTACTTATTGAGCCTTTGATTATGTTCGAAACTTCACCTGCTTTGCTACTTTCGCCCTGCAGATCCTGTCAACATCCGTTAGCCAGATCGTTGATATTGATGGCAGGGAGAGTATCAGGGAGGCTTTCCGTAGAAGGAATACTCTAGATCAATCTATAGATATTATGATGGCATTGCTGGCTGAGGCAACGATTAAACAATACACGAGTGCTGTTAGACATTGGATTAATTTTTGTTCCAGGTCAGAAATAGACCCGTACCTAGCTAATAAGAGTCAAACACTGACATGGTTAACGGAATGATTTAAAGCGGGAGCATCGTATGGTACTCTTAATAATTGTCGAACAGCCTTGGGATTGTTAATCGGGGAAAAAATATCTCAAGGGTCCATGGTTACGCGGTTTTTCAAAGGTGGTTTTCGGATGAGACCGACTAAGCCAAGATACGAAGATACTTGGGATGTGTCTCGTGTTTTAGAAGCAGTGGCTGCATTATTCCCGTTAAATGTCCTTTCATTACCACAGCTTACGGATCGTTTAGTTGTGCTTTTAGCATTGGCTACAGTGCAGAAAATACAAATTCTTGTTAATCAAATTAATAAATATAACGGAAGGTGAAAGAGGTTTTCCAATCAAAATTAACAGTTTCATAAAAACTTCGCGCTCAAGAACATGCCAGTCACTCCTGTTCTTACATAGGTTTCCTGAAAATCCAGAATTATGTGTAGCGTGTACGTTGCAAGCCTACCTTGAAAGAACGAAGGAGCTTAGAGGTAACATCCATAGTTTGATAATAACCACTAGGAAACCTCACAAGCCAGCGACCAGCCAGACGATTGCTAGATGAATTAAAACCTCTTTGGCTCATAGCGGTATCAATAATAAATATAAGGCTCCTAGTACAAGGCATGCAGTGACTCAGCAGCATTAAAAAAAGGGCGTTGATTTAAATATCATAAAGAGTACGGCGGGATGGTCGAAGGAGTCATTGGTATTTGTGAAATATTATAATAGACCTATCGTTAAAGACAAAAAACAATTTCGCAGAGGCTGTTATGTTAAATAATTGAGCGTTACTTATTGGTTCGATTATTGTCTCCTATGAATAATGTTAGGAATCCCATGTTATAAGCCTCTATGTATAAGTTTATACGTTTCAGGTCTTTAAATTAACAACGGTCTTGTAAATAAAAGGGATATAATCAATGCAGCTCCGAATACTACATAGTTAAATGTCGAGAACGAAACTGTACATATAATTATAATCGAACTTCACAACAGGTAAGTTCGTTTGATCGATTAATTTTTCTTTCACTCAACCTTGATTCCAAAAGGTAAAATGAATATCATCGCGAAGAAATATTCACTACGAAATTCCTCACCACAAAAGAAGAGATATCCTATCAATCGATTCACATTACTATTTATAAACATATTTTAAATGAATACAGTGAAAAAATAAAAGAAAATTACATTTTCTAGTCTTAATGATTTCGTCCCAGAGGAGTGTAAATGTAGTAAGCGTACAAAATTTCAATTTAAATGTATGTTAATTTCGCAAAATTTTTCCAAGACAAGAAAATATACTTACTATACAGGGTGGGGCAATAACTATGTCCACTTTGTATATTGCCATTATTTGTAATAATATGGAACAATGTTATAATACAAAACTTACAAGGTATAGAGGGGGACATATTGTGACACAAACATTTTCTGCATGGGTGAAGGCATAGAAGATATTTCAAGGTCATCTCTATTTTTGTTTAATGGAATGCTATGTTTTTTTTATCGTGATATGATAGCCGGTGTTGAGATGACTTCAGCGAGCCATCATTGAAGGTCATGCAAGGTCAAATGTCGTAGTAAAATAAATTTTCTTACATTACAGGAGATGCACGAAGTGGTGACCGTTTGCGTAAATGCAAAGTTGCAATCTTCGTATCGCTGCATCACGTGCATATATTATCGTTTCTGAACTTATTCTAGCACATGTTGCAATTATCCGTTGTATTCATATTTTCTGGTGTAGTGGGTACTTCTTGATAAACAGCATTTTTCAATGCTCCCCAGAGAAAAAAATCTAACGGGGTTAAATCTGGAGAACGAGGTGGCCAAGAAACTAATCCTCCACGTCCTCTCCATTTATTTGGGTAAAGTTCGTTCAGTGCATCTCTTACTCTCCGAGCATAATGTGCTGGACACTCGTCGTGCTGTAACCGCATCATTTGGCGAACGTTTAGTGGTACATTTTCTAATAAAGTCCCCTATGAAATAATACAGCATGTGCTAGAATAAGTTCAGAAACGGTAAGACATGCACGTGATGCAGCGATACGAAGATTGCAACTTTGCATTGACGCAAACCGTCACCACTCTTCGAGCATCTCCTGTAATGTAACAAAGTTTATTTTACTACCACATTTGACCTTGCATGACCTTCAATGATAGCTCGCTGAAGTCGTCTCAACGCCGGCTATCACATCGCGATAAGAAAAACATAGCATTCCATTAAAAAAAATAGAGATGACCGTGAAATCTCCTCTATACCTTCACCCACGCAGAAAATCTTTGTGTCACAATATGCCCCCCTCTATACCGTGTAAGTTTTGTATATAACATTTTTTCATATTATTACAAATAACGGCAATATTCAAAGTGGACATAGTTATTGCCCCACCCTGTATATGTATAATACTCTCGCATTATGTGATTACATGCTACTTGAATTCTTTCTCTGTTAACTTGTATTCATTTCTACGAACATATTCAATTTTATATTGTAATTTATTCATTGACAGTAGGTACCATTCATAATAGAAAAATTTCACGAAGTCGTCTTTAACGATCCCCCTTACCAATCAGCTTCGAAACAGGTTTTCCGAATTGTTTGGAAGAAACACGATCACCGATAAAATGTCATTTTGAATTGACTTGTTTTGACCGGTATCCTCGCCCATATTAATAAAACGTACTGAAAAACAATGTGACTGAATAGCAATAATCGGAATAGTAATAATAAAAATAAGAAAGTCCATCCAGTTCTACGCTCTCCGCTAGAATCAATTGAATAGTCAACGGAATCCGATGAAATATCGATCCAAACTAATGTATAATCTATCGAGGAAGCGTTCGATGCTACAAACGGTGTATTGAACAAAAAAATACGATAACCAATACCGCAAGTGTCGCCAGTTATCGTGCGGTACACCAGAATTATCGCATTTTGCGTGGAATGTATGTGTATTAACTTTCACCATTTGACGTCATGAAATTCATATTCTGATTCTGAGCCGAACGTAATAATAGACTTATCGATAAAATAAAGGCAAAAGGAAGCGGCTGGAAAACAATTTGCTTAATCGCCAAGACATCCAACATTAGGCAACAGTGTTGCTGAAGTATGTATTTCTCTGAATAATAACAACTAAACCAATACCATCTGACAAATATATAAGGTGGACCATGTAATTATAAATTACCAAACTGTTTCAACCCCATGATAAACAATTGAAGACGTTGAAATGCGTTTTATTGAATTTTACATTTTTACCCGAAATAAGATCGAAACAAATGATTTCTGGAAGATGTATACGAATAAATAAAATCATCCTTATGCACGGTACATTATACAGAGCGTCCTACGCAAAACAGGCCCGACTCAAAATGATTAATCTTTATGTTTTAGACAAAAACAACTTGAATGTGATTTCACCGGCGAAAAGAGTGCATAGAGACACAAGGAGGTGATTTGCAACATCTTTTGCAACGGTTTCTGAATAAAATCAAGTTTCCACAGGGTGTCATTCACTGAACTTTAATTTGCCACATAAGTAAAGTTTTTCTCCAATATATAGATTTGTACATACAGTTAACCAATGAATGGAGCCGGTTTTACGTGGGGACGCTCTGTAGTGTCAAAATATGTCCGACAGTGCTCGAAGTAATGCTTCGAGTAAAGATTCGATGAATGGTTGCCTGCTCGGGCAATAATTTCAAAATATCATCTATACACAAAAAAAAATGGACACACAACACAAGCAACATAAACAAATCTGGTTATTTTTAGATTTATAAATATGTTAATACGTGAAATGTGAGAGGACAAAAATGTCAATGCAAATTTAATTTTATTTTTCTTTCTTAAGAAATCCGTTTCCATTTAATTCCTTCCCTGGTACGAGTGAAATTAATTTATATAAATAAAATGTACATCTTTCCAATGTATAAAATGTGTCACATAGTTTCATTATAATTTAATATTCTTACATAAGTGGGCATGTGTCAATCTGTCGTGCGAAATTACATCAGAATTTAGAGAGATTTTGTTCTTATATGTCTATCTCACCTTGTCAGGGGGCGATCCATTAAACGTGTTGCTCTTCTCCGACGTGGTGTGCGGTATTGGTATCGTTTTGGCATACATTTCACCGTGTTATCGTCGACGAATCGAAGGGGTTGGACGTATTCGGAACTTGTTCTTACGATTTTCACGAGACGAGCGTCTTGGTGTGACTGGTTCTTACCGCGTCGCGCCGGCCCATTTTAAAGAGATGCCGCTACAGGTTTCGAGAAAACGTTCCTGCCTTCACGGCCGTACAGAAGTGCATTTCCAAAAATGGTTACCAACCACATTTTCGATTTCAACCTGATCATTCGATGAAAAATGTCGTTTCTTGGTATTTTTTGTTTTCTTTTACATTAAGCGTGATAAAATAATTGTTCAACATCAGTTCAGAAACTGAATATGAAGATATACTTAATGGAACATAAAGCGAAAGAGAATAGGAATAATACGATAATTCTGATTTGATACTCAAATGGCTAAATTTCCTTGGTTAAACGATCTTCTGTATAAACAATAATTGATATTTAAAGTGATAATGTATCACTTTGCATCTGGTTTGGAAAATTTAAATCTTGTAAATTTGTTTTTGAATTTTTCATTTCAAGTGGTTTGAACTCGAAACATGAGAATAGGGATAAAATTAATTTTTTTTTTGTAATTACTTCCTTATTATTGAATATATGATTAAAAGAAACAACAGAAATAACAAATACACATAAAAGTGGTAATAAAATGTATTCATCCCAGCGGCCATTACGTCAATTATTAGAATGCTGAACCCTTGAAGTGTTAATTTCGTTTAAAGTGTATTAGAATGTTAAATATCACCAAAAGAAAACAGTACGCTTTTGGATGTTACTTCATTAATTCTGATTTCTTCAACTCATCGCACGTGTTCATATCAACATATCACGAATCATCGTTAGAGCATGCTTTCCTTGAAAAAAATCTATATCTATATCGACGATGAGAAACTTCGGTCAGTAACTATATTACGACTTACGGTAATGAATAACACGAGTAGAATTTTCGTTCATAAATATATCTAGTCCCGTATACAGGTATATCTATGGGTCATTCGATATTTCATAATGTTATGCGTTTTTACAAAGATAAAGCATCCAGGGTCAACTCTTAACTCTTTGCTTCAACCGTTTCTGCTGCTCAAAGAAATATTTATGTAAATGCATAAAAGCGCAGAATCCTGATCCCTGCAATAAAACGTATTTCTTAAACAATATCATAACCATCGCTCTGTTAATAATTATTATTTATTCGTATTCGACCGTACCGTTCGCAAAAACAAAAATCATCTCGGAGTTCGTTCACTATTTACTCACGTTTCAAAATTAAAAAGCAAAAATTCGCACGATACCATGATCGTGAATTTACACAAATCATAGTCAGAAATTTAAAAAAAAAAAAAGGAAGATCGTTCGTAACGAAATTGATCAAAATTCGTGGCGGGATTTCGACAGCGAAGCAATGTATTATCTACTATGTGTATAATCTTACGAACGTCCTGAGATCTACCAAGAATATCAATATATCATAGTACTTATACAAAACACCGTGTTATGTAAATGAATAAAATTATTAATGAGATTCTTAATTCGTTCTCCGTTGAGCGTGAAATGATGCTTTTCCAATTCAGCGTTTCGGAGTATTTCATTGAAGCGGTTCTTTTTCGACGCCCGTACTTCTCGCCGTTTCCCAACGCAATTACGATGACATTTCTGCCGTCGTAATCGTCTGAGAACAGCTGTTTATCGTCTATCAACGCGAATGAACGGCGAAATAGTGCTGATTGGACGGCATAAAAACTGGCGTCTTATCAGAGGTTGACCCTCACACCGCTTCTTCGTCGCGATAGGTCCGTCGAATGTTATTAACATTATTGTCGTAATAGCTGGACGGATAATGTTTGTGTTGGTGCGCCAATAACACGCCGATAATGGAAGAAGCGATCTTTCCTTCGGGAACGAAACGGTTCGTTTTCAGTAAGAAGTTTTATACGACCGCTGGTACACGCGGTCCGTGAGCATTAGCTTGTCCGTGTGATCATTTGAGGAGGAATCAACGGGACTGGAAAATTTTGTGAGCAAACAGAAAAAGGGATGAAAGCGTTCGTTGGGGTACCATTTGAGATGTAGCGATGACTTACCACTTGGTAAGTATTGAACGGTTATTACATTGAATTGTGTGTGTGTGTGTGTGTTGATTTGGCCGAAAACTTCCTGAGATGTTTTGGCGATAGAGTTGTATCTTCGGGCGCTCCGAAACACAACTGACTTTAGTTCAAATCTTAAAAGCACATGTGGTCATTTCATAGCCTAACCGAAAAGTTTGAGGAATCGATAGTTTGTTTTATAATTTCGAAGTAATTTTTAAAGATGGACATCCAAGAGGAGCATTTCTCGGCATATATTTTTCTGTTTTCTTTCAAAAAGAGAAAAAACGCAACGCAAACCTGTACAAAAGTTATGCAAGGTGTACGGATAGAATGCCATCAAAGTGTGCCAAAAGAAGTTCGCGAAATTTCATTCTCTAGGGGAGGGGGGGGGGGGGTTGCCCCAAGATGCATCATGCTCTAGCCTCTAACCGATCATAAGAGATTGATAACGACCGAATAAAGTGTTTAATCAGCAATAATCCTCATTACGCAACGAGGGAAATTACACAAAGTTTCCGAGTATCGAAATGAAACGTAAAAAAACCATTTGCATCAATATTGGCTAAGTCGACCGGCTGAAAAATCGCAACGAACTTTTCGGCGAACCCGATATTTTTGCTCCGATCAGAAGCTAGAAAATCTTTTTTATATCGTACTAAAGAATTATTTACGAGATCGTTCTTCGTTTGCATTCGTATCGTAGACAGGAGCAAGAGAACAGAGCGAGGATCAATCTTTCATGGATTCCACTTCTCTCTCTGTGGAAACAAATCGATCCACTACGTGTTTATACATCGACGCGCCCTTAAACGCTACCAAAAGAATAAACGAAAGTGATAGTTCTCAAAACGGCCAACCCGTGTACGGGTGGAGGAAACGCGTGGGAATTGCAGCAAGGAGAAAATGGCCCTTGACTTCTTCGCCGGATGTGTGGGAGGTAAACCATGACTATTAGTGAAATATCATTAATCACTCGTATCAATAATGATATCCAAAGATTTAACAATTAAATTGAATACAAAAGGAAAACTTTACAATTAAAATTGTAACACGGAAAAGGTAAAGATGAATTTTAAGTCCCCCCAAGAAAACGAAAATTCATCGGTCTACCTATATTTCAGTCACGAGATATGAATTCCTTACTTCGAAAGATTGTTATAAATAATTATTTTCCAGGGTGCGCCGGTATTGTGGTGGGATATCCTCTGGACACAATCAAAGTTCACATGCAAACACAAGACTACCGGAACCCGAGATACAAGGGCAATTGGGATTGCTTCCGCGCGATCTTTGCGAAAGAATCGGTAATTTAATAGAAAATCCATAATCTAAAAATCACTTTCTTATCTGTCTTTAATATAATTCAAAATGATCATGTATACGTTTGTATGATTTAACAATCGATTGAATGGCCCTGCAATGATCGGTAAAATTTATTAAGACTGTACACTAGTCATCGAACTGATATGATACATATCGATGATACTCAAACAATTCGATACCTAAGTAAGTACTCAGTGGGAAGTATCGAAAGGCATTGAAATCTCGTATACTAGGTATCAACTTTCAGTACCGATGCCTCTTGGACCGATACCAATGAATATCAATTCTATAGCAACCAAGTACGTATCAACGCCACGAAAAATATAATCGAATTTTTCAAATACTTTATGAATGCAGGAATCCCTAATTCGTTAATATGGTATTGGTATCGATACTTTCGTGAAGTATCAAACGTAGGGGAGACCAAGCACAAACGTAACAATTTTTCTTTTTCAGTTTGTAACTTTTAAATACGGTAGAATTTTTAAAAACTTCTTATATGACGAGAAACCTGGATTAACGGACAACATACTGAGATTTTAAAACTTAGAATATATTACACCAGTTTTTTGACACAAGACTTTATTTAAAATCACTCATTTGTTACTTTTGTCCCTGCCACTAGGGATAATTGTAACACCGTATCTAAATTGAATAAAACCAATTAAAAGGAAATGTGCTTTTAAATGATATTTTTATTTAGTCTATAGATAGACATAAATATAAATACAAAGATGAGAATAAACTTAAAAGTAACAAACTTTTTTGCCAGGCAACAGGAATACATTTTAATACTTCATTAAGCCAATTTTTTTATTTCTTTTGTTGTCATACCATAATTGATAGCAGATAAATAACAACAAATAATGTTGGAAAACTATTTCTTCTTTCTTTGAAAACATCCTGTTTGTCAATGTATAACAAACAGAAGGTAGACCAGCTTGACCCTCTACAATTGTATTTTTCTGCCTTTTAATATGTTGCAATAATGTTATGTATTACATACATACATAGTTTAACTGATTTTGAGGCGAGTCTGGAAGACACTTTTTTGTTTGCAACCGCTTTAAAAGCCAGCCCATGGTCTATCTTCTTTTTACGAACAGTTTTGGTATTCTGGAAGGAATCTTAATTCCTTAATTGTTAAAATAGCATACCCGGAAAAACAAAGGACGTAAAAGAAAGTCGACAGCTTAAATCGGGACAAAAATAATAGCTCGTTGCTTATGTCCCTATTAGCCGTATCTCTCATAAACACGTTATTATGCAAACCTAATTTATTATCATGAAAAATGTTATATCTACCTGAAAATGTATAAATTATTTCATATAACACAGACTTTCAGAGAATTTTACGGAACTGAAACAAAAAGATACACAATTGAAAGAGATAGGTAATGCAAACTTACTTTTGGTATATCAGTTCAATAGGGTAGTCGTATTAGGAAAACCGCTTACTGCTGCGTGTTAGCGACAACTGAGACCCCTACTTTCGTAGAAGTATCAAATCGATACCCATACTTATTTTCGTAGAAGTATCAAACAGGTATCGATGCTTTCGTATCGACGAGATATCGATTCTTTTGGTGTCTATATCTTTGATATTACACGATACCAGATAAATTTCCCGATCAGGTATCGCTAGTATCGACGCAGTGTCAGTTCGAACATTAGTGCACTCCACGCATTGAAATCATCGAAGTGCAATGCATAGTAATTGCATACTGTGATTTATTACGTGAGAACAACATAGGTACTGTTCACATGATATACGAGAGGTGTTTCCAAATTTCTGGGCATTGTGTAATAAAATGTTTATTTTTATTGATTTACGTCCATAATACATTGTAATTTTTCAATATGATTTCCGCTTAACTGTATGCACTTATCCCAGCGCGAAACTAGTTTTTTTAGGCCATGTGAAAGAACTTTTTAGGGGTCTCTTCATTAAGTCATTTAAATTCTGAAATCGTCCAGCATGTAAAGGTTTTTCAAGTTTGGCAACAGTTAATAGTTGCTGGGTGTCTGATCAGGCCAATAAGGTGGGTGTGGGAGTAATTCCCAGCGCAATTCGTTTAAAACTAATTTTTAAGGAAATAATGGCTCTTTGAGAAGTTACAACGTCTTCCATAGTTGCAAAATTAACACTTAAAAACACACATACGTTCGTCAAGCGGCTAAAGCATTCTTATCGGTATTAACTAACATCGTTAGGAGAACCTGTGAGGATTTGTCTGTACCTGAAATCATTACTCATTACCCATGCAGTATTTAGCAAGATCGCAATTCCCAGAACATTGGAAACACCCCTCTTATATATACAGGGTGTTACAAAAATGTTGTTCGACCCGGAAATGGGGCACTCGGGGGGTGAATTGGAACACGTTTTTCCTTAGCAACAATGTAATCTGAGGCTTCGTTACCGAGATATTAATGAAAAAGAGTTGCCAGCCGAGTTCCCGTGGTAGCGTTGACTACAAATCGCAGCGCATAGCCACCGCTACTTTTTCATTTTTATAGATTTCATTCCCGTAAAACCAACCACTTTGATTACTTTGTCAGTTCTATAATTAATGCAACCATTCTAATGACCATTAAATATGTATACATTCCCCCTATGCCAGAACCATGAACTTGAAAATTTTCACTTTTTGAGTAAAGGTAGTCTGTATTGAACGTCTTGTTCTGTTCCTAACTTTATCCCACAAACAACAAATGTGTACGTTGCATAACAACGGTGATTATAATTTATCATTTATTTCTACCGTTGTTATACTAAAATCATATACGTGATTTATGTTTCTAAACCAGAAACTCAAGGAGAAGTGTATAATCAAATATTAAAATTTCAAAAATGTTGATCCCCAAAATTATCGGATTACACTTAACCGTGAATTTCCAGAATTGATCGAATCTCACATCAATGGTTCTGGAAAAATCAACGTTCATTCCAATTATCATATTCTCCTCCGTTTAACGGTAAACAATTTCCATTTGATTAGGTAGGAGGCCTTTACCGAGGGATGACATCGCCGATGGCAGGCGTAGCAGTGGTGAACGCCATCATCTTTGGTGTATACGGGCAAACCCAAAGGCACATACCCGATCCGGATTCTCTCACCTCGCACTTCGTCGCTGGTACCGTGGCTGGAATCGCCCAGAGTCCCATCTGCAGTCCGATGGAATTAGTTAAAACTCGTATCCAACTACAAGCCAACTCGACCAGTCGATTCACCGGGCCTTTACAGTGTCTCGCGCACACGTACAAGCACGAGGGCTATCGAGGAATGTTCAAAGGTCTTGGGATCACGCTGCTCAGGGAAGCGCCCAGCTTCGGTGTCTACTTCTTTACGTACGAGGCGATCACGAAAACATCGGAAACCGAACCAGTCTCGACGCCGTGGATGCTACTAGCGGGCGGTGTTGCCGGGACCGCCTCCTGGGCGCTGACATACCCCATAGACGTGATCAAGTCCCGAATCCAAGCGAATGGCGATCGTTACACGGGAATGATCGATTGCTTCAGAAGATCGGTGAGAACCGAGGGCTATTCTTGTCTGTACAAGGGCCTGAGTTCAACGATCCTTCGTGCGTTCCCCACTAACGCCGTGACATTCACCGTGGTCACGTGGACCTTTCGAATGTTCGGGCGTGACCAGGCCCGTGAAACGTCCAAACGAAAAGAGCCCGAAACGATCAAGACCGTCATCAAAGCGTCCGACGCGAATGAACCTTTCGTCGGCAAGTGGAACACCTTTCCGACAGGTGCTGCCTTGCAGACGGCGATCATACCGAAATTCAGATACACGGCGTTCTCGATTATGTCCACCAGCGACACGGTGCTCGGGCAGCCAGTCGCGTTGCAGCTCAACGGAGGATCGCAAACGGACGTAATGTACAGCGCGGCCGAACAGGTTCGCGGTGATAAATGCCACGATGTTGCGGAGAGGTTAAGAGGAAACGAGGATGAAGAAAGTGGTGAGAGGAAAGTGGATTCGCCAGATGGAACGGAGCATCGGTGAACGGATTTTCGCTACATAGATGCTACTTCTGGTCTTTGCGAACCGTTCGCGACGATAGGATAAATATACAGTCGCGCTGGGTTGTTCACAATTATTTATTTCTAGTCGCGATGAACTTGTATCCTTTCAGCGGAACGGAATACGAGTTGACGTTAGAGCGTTTTATTTATTTCAAATTGAAACGTGTAACTGAAACAGAGCGTGGCACCAAGTGCATGAAACATTAGATTCGATAATTTGTTTTGTTTTAGTTTCTCCCTGTTCACCTGGACATTTTCGACGGGACCGTATAGAAATGAAAATGAAATGTTGTATGGTCTACGAGGGTGATTACGAACCAACATCTTGAACATCATTTTACTAAGAAAATAACATAGGAGAGACTGTTTCAAGTGTATTTTTAGATTTTTCTTTTCATATCTTCTTTGTGTACGATAAGTCGAGTACGAACAGCAAAACGTTTTAAATTTGAAAATTAAACGTTTTTAATATAATTAACGCGGTATTGGTGAAGAGGGCTCGAAAGGCCAGGAGTACCCGAAATTGTAGAGGAGGGTTCAGGTGGATAAGTAGTTGAAAAATAATAAAAAAAAAATTACGTGTGAATACGATAGAATAGAAAGAACCGTCGAGCCCAAAGGTTCAACGGAAAGTGAGTTCTTTTCATGAAAACAGCGCATTGTGGTTCCCCCACTTGAAGTCGATTGCGCGAGCAACTTGGGAAAATTGGCAGGAAATTGGATGTAATTAACATATTCCATTGGGTATTGTACGATGCAAATTCATGTGAGAGATTATTGTTGGAAACAGAAACGTACAGTAACTAACGGAAGTATTCAGACTACCGGTTCCTATATCCACATTGTTATTGCAAACATTTTTTTATATCTGGTGAATATATTGTTTCATTTCTCCGCAAGTTTTATAATATACTTTTATCATTTCGGCTGCTTTATCGTTTGAGTATACTTCGTTAGTCACTGCAAAATTAAACATAACATTTAGATATTATGATGAATTATTCTTCGAGATTGAATAAATCTTGTATTAAATACCGAAAAGATACAGTGAGGAAAAAAGCATTTGTACCTACCGACTATTTGCGAACAATTTTATTGTTTCCTAGATTATATTGCAAAAATAACTATTATATATTATTCATTGTGTTCATTATATGTATTTATTACAAAAGACCTGAATATACAAATACTCTTTTTTTTTAATTGAGGAGGTAATCGAAGACCAAAATAATAGATTACATATAAAATTTTATTACAATGAAACCTTGATACGTACAAGAAGCAGCTTACAAATATTCCATTTTGAAAAAACAGATACATATGAATGCTTTTCGACGCAACAGAGTTTCATTACTTTGAACATTGACTCAGTCACATAAATATTATTTACAAATCAATCGTTCTTGCTTGTTATTAACTACGTGAAAAGAAAATAACTTCATAAAGAAAACTTATTACTAGTAATGTGTTCAAGTTTACAAGTTTCATTGCATGAGATTCGGTTACAAGAAGTAATGTTTCATTTTCGGTTTTAACAAGCTGGTTTCGAACGTCAAGAACAAGTACTTGTAGGGTTCGAGAATGCACTTACAAGAACTTTGACATTTAAAAGAATCGGATCTTGTAAAAGTAATGATCGCACCCTGAAAAACAACTTGTTTTTATTTTTCACCAAAAACAGATCGATCCGACGATATATAAGGAAATTTAAAAAAAAAAGAAAATCACTCGATTGCACGTACTAAAAATCTTCTGATTGAAGTACTCGCAAAAGGTTCGAATCTACTTATGTACATCTCAAAGTTCAATTATACTTGAAAGTGCCGCTTACATTCGTCATAATATTTGGAAAGAGTTCGAATCTATCACGTCTAGGTTCGTGTCTATTTAAAAGTATCGTTTTCTTTTCTCTCGAAGTACTCATGAGGTATTCGAAACTGTACAGAGAAATTCAAACCTACTTGTAACATGCTTGATCTCATCGCTACTTATTACCATACAGATTCTACAATTATCGTGTAACGTAACTACGTTCACCAATCAATTTGCATCAGAATAAATCTACAGACTTGTTGAAATACTTTCGAAATAAAATCTACTCTCACTAATTACATTAATCCCCTTTCGGTATTTTTGCTACCTACATATATACAGGTTGTTCCGCTTAAAAGAGCGATCATACGAGAAATATTTTTTACGTAATTTAAATAGTTTCAAAAGGCGAATCGGATAACGGCAAACATTTTTTATAAGTGTCATTTGTTTAATGGTTTTTCAAGGTCACCCATGTGTTATTACGTATATGCAAATATTTTTTCCTTTTGTGCTTGTTATACGCAACATTATTATGCATTTATCCATGTATAATAGTATGACCTTAAAATGACCTTAAACTCTACAAATTTTTAATTTACTTATAAAAAATTTACTCTAAAAATTTTAAATTCAATTATATAATTTTTACCACCATCTAATTCGTCTCTTTAAACCATTTAAATTACGTAAGAAATATTTCCCGTATGATCACAGATGGAGTAAATATTTAGGTGGCCCGTTTTAAGCTGAACACCCTGTATATCTATCATCCTCTTACTCAACGCTAATATGAAGTGTAAAATAAATAAATAAATTATGAATGAAGTGTAATATAATAAATAAATATGTGATATTAAAGTATACATATATTACCTATACTTGAATACGATCGACGCAGGAATGACGAGAGATTTAACAAATTATTATTAAAAAATGGTCACGGTAGCATCCACGTGCCCGGTATTTCGACCGAAATTATGACAAATAACGGTACAGGGGTGATTCAAACGAGTCCCCTCTGTGATAGTGTCATTTTAGGACGAAACAGTATTGAATGCAAAACCACGATTCGAATCGATCACGCTCATTTGTATTCCTAAAGGATTTGGTCATCGTTCATTATTGGCGACACCAATGCCGCCATACTGGAACATACAAATCTATAAAAAGAATCATTCATTTCGTTCTTTGCAAAATTCATCTGTATGTATCCAACATTCGACAATTTTTCTTGTCGTTAAATATGATAATAATTTAACCCCTTAACCACGTAAACTGCCTATAGATATTACATTGTACTCGACGTTTCGGTTAGCTAACTGTAAAAATCGTGATAGAGTAATTCCTTGGCTGTCATTTCACTGCTTCTTCGCTAATGAAAGTAAAAAGTTTCTACACATTTCACTATGTCGCCGTGAAAGTGTTAATAGATTGTTGAGAATCCATGAGGAAAACAAATCCAAACACGACATCATACGATTATATTTATTATATAATTCGAATATTGCAAAGTAATTTTACACATACAAAGGACATCGTGTTTGGGCTTATTCTTATCGACAAAATCATACTAATCCGCTGATAAAAATTTCCGGAATGAATACATTAATGATCGATCGATATGAAACAAAAAAATCTAAATTTCACACATACTATTGTGGCTCTCTTAGCTAGATTGTACAGAGTTTCGATCAACACTTTCGTCATCGCTGCTGTTACGCACAACTGCTTTAACAGCGTCGAGACAGAAATACGTCTGTATAATTCGTCAGTGTTGGTAATCAGATGTTGAATTACTGACAACTATGGTTAATTATTTTCCAGATAGCACATAGACGGCTTAAGACGGCTTAATGACGGCTCAAAGGCGCCTCAGACCTAAAATAGCCGTAAAATAGGCGTCTTAAAGATGCCATGTGCTATCTGGGTTATATAATTTTCGGTCTTCCACGACAATCATAGTTATATAGTTGCATGAAGTATAGTTATGTCGCACAAAGAACAACTACAACATCGACTACCACTGGCCTACATGTCGAAGAATGTGTTACGGGGTTAAATAAATAGTAGGTGGACGCGCATCAGCGTTAAAACAAGCCGGATGCATAGTCATCGTCGCCATAATCGTAGTCGTCGGCTCCAGGTGGCACGAAAATCCCTCCAAGAACGCCCGAAAGATTTTCACCAAGACCCATCGCCGAGGCCACACCGAAAACTAGTCTCATGACCAGCAGTCTCATGAAGTTCACGACGTTAGTCTCTTTACTTTGAAGAGACAATTGCGTTGTCTTCTTCGCCTTGCCCTCAACACAGTGAATCTGTCGACAATGTTGATTTTTTTGTTAACACAATCGCAGTGCAGTAACTGCATCTAATATCGCCTAGCACGTAATATCACTGTTCGTAATGTCTTGCGAAGAAACTACTAAAATCTATTTGTAATAATAATAACCATAGACATAACTATGGTTCCAACGTCATATGAGCAACGTGTAGCGAACGAAAAGTATTCGATGGAATCTTGATAGTGTAAACATTCATTGAACCGTGAGAATCCTGCGTCGCATTGGGAAAAGGCAAGTTTAAAAATTTTATAAATACATGAATATTTACTGGGAATATCTAATTAATGGCAATTTAATTGGTTCTAATAGTTTTGTTAATGGAACAGTTTGTTTTATGTCTTGGCCAGCGTGCCCTAAATACCGCCTACCTTTCGGTCTAGTATTTGCTACAGATAGGGACACGAGACCTGAAAAGCTACGAAGCTGAACTTTCTGTGCCGAGCATGTAAACGTGATCAGCTCAAAGGAATATGTAACAATATAAATACTTTGAAAATGTATTTCTTTATTTTTCTGATAAAGATATTTTTTAAATATAATCCGATTAAAAGAAAGTTTCGGAAAATGCCTCCAAAATATTCATATGGTTCAAAATAATGAGCAAATATATAAATATATATTTAAGAGCTCATAAATACATGAATTAATCAATATTTTTCAGGTAGGCGATATTATGTGCAGTTTTTCATAATCCTGATTTTTGCATGTCTTGTTTCTTTTTTCAATCACGATTGAAAATCTCTAGATTTTAACAATTCTAACCCACTGAAAAACAATTTCTTTTTATCTGTGATTAATTAGACAGAAACATAGCAATTATCCTTTGATTGAGAACAATTTGAATTTGGGTACCCGATATTAGGAGCGCTTACCTTATATCATGACGGATTCTAGATTTTCTGTTTTATGATTATTGAATCTTAGAGATACTTTCATCAGAATTTATGTTAACCTCTAATATCTGATACACTTTACACTATTACTATAATAGTGGTATAAAGTATACTAAACTATATTGCATTATACATTACACTTATTAATATATATTATGTATTTCACAATTTACCTTAGCATACATTCAATGCTGGTAGTTCCAGTGTGAAAAGCAGAAATAAAAAAAAATTAACCTTTCTCACAGGGAATTTTTTTGAGAAATTATAGAGGCGTGTTCATTTTTACCAGCGTGTTCATTCCGTTGTGTTTTATATTTAGCATGTGTTCTGAACGCTCAATGTATCGCATGGTAGTATTTTCATTAAAAATTGAAAACACTGTATGCCAATTTTTCCCTTTGATTTTACATTAGTAAACGACAAAATATGTATAATATTTATCAATTCATTAATTTGAATTTTTAATTCTTCTTATATTATAATGAAGGGCCTTCCATCACATAAAAGTTCATTCGTTGTAGTAAGAATATTAAGAGTTCCGAACTTCCATTCCTAAACGTTTTAACCGTTACGTGACACAAAACGTTTAAAAGAATTTTATTACCCATTGCGTACCTCCCGCACGTATTTACATACAGAACGTAAACAGTTTACAAACTGTAAAATGATCCAAATATTATCAAATTTGTCGGACATTATAACAATGAACATAAACATAGTTCACGAGGTGTGACAACAAAGTTTCGAGACTAATGGATTTAAAAAAGTTTATTTTGAAAGTTAAACATATCTAAGGTGTTCGCCTTTAAAATATTAGTTCCTCTGGAGAGTGTGCGCACGTGATCCAGCGTTGGAAGAATTAATCGTATCATTTCCGAATTCCATCGAATAACACAAATTTATTAATTTAAAATTTGCTTTAAAGAAACCATTACTACATTCAAGGGTAAAATTACACTAATGGTCATAGGCGTAAAAATAAAATAATTACGCACATATACTACTCGAGATATATGTATATTCTATCTGTTGGCCTATAACAAACGAGCCCCGATTTCTAAATTTTAATTTTTCGAGTTTCGAAAATTTACACATCTTCGTGATTTCGAACCACTGCACAGTGTTTCGAGCATATGGGCGTTCGGTAAAAAAAACATAACTTTTGAACTAATCAATTGTCGTCCTAAGTACCCTAATATTTTTTTTAAAAAAATGCGAAGTTGCATAATAAAATATACAATTCCATTCAAAGAAATTGAGGTGGTCTTGAGTTTTTGTTGAATTAAGTGTCTCTTGTCAATATTTACAGTTGCAATTTGTAGCTAACTGAATACTAATTAACTCTTGTTCAGAACATTTGTTATTAAATTAATTGTACCTACTATAATCAAGTATTAAAATAAGTTTTAATTACTATGCATATTTAATCATGACTGATATAAACAATTATTAAAATACATTTGAATTACTATATTTACTTACAACTATAATATTTTAATAAGTAATTATAACTACTGCGCTAAAGGCCTAGAATCTGAGCTGTGTACGTGAACGTACTAATAATGATTTCGACTATTTTTTCCATTTTGAGCAAACTTGAACAGTTGAATTCGACGTTAATTTCAAGTTTAATATGTCCTAAATGAATATATAAAAAATCACAGAGGTACATTTTAGTACTTTTTTTGAAAGTCTCTCTAAAGATAAACATTTTACACAAAAACTTGGGCAATTTATTATTATTCTATAGAAATGATTCAGCAATTATAATGGTATTACAGTATCAAACACAACTCACAAAAGATCAAATTGAATATAGAAAGTATGTGAAAAACTACTAGAAAGAAAATAGGAATAAATATTAATAGTATTTGAAAAGATGCACAGATTCTTCCTGCAAACAGTCACGCTGTAATCTCAATAACAAATTGATACCTTCAGTCAACGATACAGGTAATACTAAAAAAAAACTACGTTTTCTTATTAATCCGCTAATTGCATTTGTCCACTACAGTGGTCGCCCACTTTATCACTTTAGTAACAATATTTAGAACATTTCTTGACGATGAGCAATATGAATCTTCTTCAAATGAATCCAAACATTAGACAAACGGCGAGCAAATACATTGTTTATAAAAAAACATTTCTTTAAATATTTTAAATAGGCTTAAAATGACTATTGGCCCTTGATTTGATGAAAAAACAACATTTTGTACAAGATACCAAAAAGATGCAGTTAGCGGGTTAACATTGGTAAGACAAAAAAATTCGTCGATCTTACGCTTCGAATTTATTATTTTTCCATTAGTCGAAACACTATGCACCGGTGGACCTTCACAGCAAGACCGGTTAACACTAGAACTACCAGCATTGACTGTATGGTAATTTAAATTGTGTAATATTTTACTACGTGTAACAGATAATGCAGTATAACTTAGTATACGATAATATAAAGTGTACAAGAAATTAGAGGTTAACATAAATCCCGATGAAAGTATCTCTAGAGTAATTGCAAAATAAAGAATTGTGACGAGTTCGGTAGTTCTGGTGTTAATTGTAACTTACATTAACGCAGGCGACAATGACCACCGTCAGTGCGAGCGCAGCCTTCATCTTCGTCGGCGTCGTACGCATATCCGGTGCACGGGATCCGGAGTAGTCGCTCTCCCGCTCGCGTGGTTCTTCGATAATTTCGTCCGGCTTAATCTGCTGACCACGATCGGCACGGTTGCATCGGCCGTCTGCGCCCGTTACGAACGAGCACGCAACGAGAACTGAACGAGACAAGAGGTCCGTGTTCCGTCGTAGAGAAACTACACCCGAGAGCCCCGGGTACCTCTTCTATCGGGCCCTGTCCCTGATAGAGCACACACACGGGTAGCTACGTACGTACATGTATAACGATCGAACAGGTGAACGATGGGGACAAAGTGAAATAAATGGCGGTCCCCGTGATCGCGGATACCTAAGTTATTCTACGGTTAACGGTACACGACGAAAAAAGGCATCCAGGCCGTCTCTTCAGGTTACGCGATATACGTGCCCGAGGCCGGTGTACAGTCACGGACCGCGGAGGATCTCTAGTCGTGATTGAGCGCGTGAAAAAAGAAAGAAAAAGAGGCACGGCTCGCTCGTGAAAGTGTCAACACAGTTCGTTTAAAGACGTACGTGATTATCGAAGATTATCGATAATCGTACGCCTATGAATCTTTGCTTTTTGTTCTCCGTGTTTTTTTTTTTTTTTTTTTACCAAAAGTACGGCGATCTACATACCTATGATTATTAATTTGCCACGTATCGGAGTCAGTTTCACCACTTTCCTGGCTCTATGCGTCGGAGTGATCCATTTCTGGTTTGGATTCCTCGGGGTACAATAAGACCACGCTTGTACGAACTGGTGCGGCGACATGGTATTCGATCGAATAGATTTTTTCGGATATAATTAAACAAGGATATTTTGACGCACGGATAACGATTCGTTGGAAAATTTCGCGTATGTAGGGTAAACTTTGCTTAGTCCGTGATACTTTCTCGTTGGTCGCCAACAAGATGTTGCCAGGTCGAATTTAGTATAGTAACATAAACTATGAACATTAACATGGCCTGTTAGTGAACGTTACGGCAACAAAAAAATCAGTCGGTTGAAGTTAATGTGATTGAGCCGATGGAACGAGGAGTTTTTCATTCTAGGAGAGCATTGTGCCTGTAAGTTTTCGTACTAATTGCGAACGATTGCTTTTTTATACAGGATATTTCAAAATATGTGTAAGTCCTTGAAAAGAGTGATTCCTGTGGTGATCTGAAACAACTTTGCGAAAAAGTTCTCCGAGTCTTTGTTAACGAGATATTAACGAAAAACCTCGACCAATCAAAGCGCGTAGCCAACGTTACCGCAGGAGCACAGTCGGCAAACTCACGCTCTTATTGGTCAGCGTTTTTCGTTAATATCACGTTAACAAAACCTCGGAGAAATTTTTCGCTAAGGAAAAAGTTGTTTCAAATCACCCCAGGAATGACCCCTTTTAAGGATTTACAACTATTTGGGGACACCCTATACATATATTAAATCTGCTTCGGCAGATAAATGGTACATTAAAAATACAAGAAAGTAGTACGGTAAAATATCACATTAACAAGACTTGATCTGAAAATTATCATACAGAAAAGCGCCAGTGCTATTTTTGCTTATAAAATGTAAGCAAATTCTTTTTTTATTTTGTGCCGAGCTGCGTTTCTTATGGCGTTGTTTGAGAGAAACTGAAGACATACAACAGAAACAATAATGATAAAACTAAAATAATAAACCTAAAATAATCACTTAATGGTAATGTAAACAATAAGAAATAAGTAACTGGTGGGTAAAGTATCACGACCTAACAAGAACGATCACGGAGTAAATAGAGTGCTGTCATGGAATAACCAAAGTGTTTCATGAAAATACAATTTTGTATATTTTAAATTAAATACACTTGGTATAATTCTGTTAACTTGTTATTTGTTTATATGATGTCTGACCTATTATTACAACCTTGACTTACTTTCGGAACATCAGCAGTTTATAGAAAAATTTTAAAACTATCACGGACTTACCAGAGTTTACCCCATACAGTATTTATACAAATTTCATTATTCAATTTTGTTTTCTTACTGTAACACCTATAGACCAACTTTCAATTTTTTATACGTATCATTTAAAACGTATTTCTAAGATGTTATTTTGATGACACTGCTTGAATAATCCTAGTACTGGATGTAGTAATGTACCTACGGATTAACAAGTTTCATAATCGAGGTTCTAATACTTAGGTTCAGGAACAAATATTATTGATGAATCAGCGACACTATCTTGCGAAACTTGAATGAAAATGCATCCAAACACGTCCTAATTTAGTTATAAGTACAGTAAAACATTGATTATCAAAACTAATCGCGACACCTTGTATTTGAATAAGAAAATTTTTCAGATAATAGAACAACTTTGTTTTCGCATAAAATGCGACAATTTTGTTTCAACTATTTTATTATGTTTCAAATTCTGCATGAAAATTAGTAAGTACCTTTCATTAAATACACAATATACAAACTAACATACTGCGAAAATTTCTACAAATTTCGTAATTCTAAACAGAAATTGTATAAAAATGAAAAACAGCCAACGTTTATTTCCCCGCGCTAATTATTTTGTTCTTAACATAATTTATGTCACACTGTTGACACGATATTACAGTGAAATTTATTATTCACGTTGAATTCTCATTAGTGTGTACGGAAATTTACTTGTTTACCATTAAGTTTCCTTACAAAATGAAACGCCTACTAAAACCCATCACTAAATTGCGTCATTCCATTATATTTATACTGTAAGTATTTTTATGAACCATGCTTGTATACGTTCATTTTCCCTGTTCATAGTAAACCAAAAGTTCAGGATTCGGTACGTTAAACAATCTAAATTCCATTAATCGGTGAAACATTTTCAACATAAAAAAATGCCTTTAGATTCATAATGAAATTATTTTACATAATGAAGCGGATGCAGAGAAATTTGATATGCACCTGTGTACATCATTTTCACCTTATTGTAACGATATGGACGAACATCGAGTTGTTTATGGTCAATGACTGGGGGTTCTACACCATTAAAGCGGCGGGGCCATTAGCCTGAATTTCAAGAAACAATAATGACACGGATCGATGCTTTTTAACTGCACTTGCAACCGGTATTAAACTTGTGTTAGTATTAGAAACGTTCTCCTACCTCCTTTTTGTAATAACGAGTGTATCATGAGGTTAAAATGAGTTTCGTTTAAAGGCTTGATAGGTTCGATACACATTAAACTACAAATGGAACAGACACGTGAAATTATTCGTGCTTTTTATTCCATATCAGTAGAAATTGGTAACTAGCGTCCATTTTATGGTTCACTGTCGTCACTACACCATTACCGATTGCATTCGAAATGGCAGTTCATTACCATTCAATCGTTTACCATTGTCGAATTCATCATCAATCGTTTGTCGTCGTAATGAATTTTACTAATGTGTATACTACTTAAGTTTATTAACCACCGATTAACGTTGTAATAATTAATCATTTTATAGTTAGATATACAGGGTGTCCCATGTAAATCGATCCCCTCGAATATCTCTGAAATTATTTGTGATATTGAAAAGTGTTTCACACAAAAGTTGAATGGTATTGAGGGGGATATAATTTGATGTCAATAGTTTTTATTGTAGTTGTAGGCGTAGAGGACATATGAAGGTCAGCTTTATTCTTTTAAATGGCACCATATTTTTTTAATGCATTGGTCGATGAAGCTCATCATTCCCTGTAAAAAATGATTAATCTATTTACGTCGAGAAACCATTAATTTAGGGGATATTTTAATTTCAAAACTACATGCAACGTCTATGGACATACTTGTGAACTTTATAACGGTAAACATCGTATCACTAGTCACTACATAGTACCACTGCGTCAATTTTTGAACTCAAATATCTCCTAAATTAATAGTCTCTCGGTATAAATAGTTAATAACTTTTTATATTAAATTAACATTAAAAAATATATGGTGCCATTTCAAAGAATAAAGCTAACCTTCATATGTCCTCTACATCTCCACCTACAAAGAAACCATTGACATCAAATTATGTCCCCCTCGATAGCATTCAACTTTTGCGTGAAACACTTCCCGGTATCACAAATAATTTCAGAGATATTCGAGGGGATCAGTTTAAATAGAATACCCTGTATATGCTTGGTCCTACAGTTATTAGAATACATTTTTTTCGTCGCTTCCATGAATATTCACATTCTTATAGACAAATTTCATAAACCAGGAATGAAACTAAAATTTCTTTATCAGGGATCATACTCGATTAACCCTCATATCCTGTTCAGTAAATTGTCGCATTACTATTTCTTGAATTCAACTTGGTCTAAGCTAAAATTGAATGACAGTAATACATTTACCCATCGTTTGATCGTCTATATGTACACCAATGGCGTCGAATTAATTTACAAGTTTCTCTGACAAAGAATACAATTAAAAATTAAAATCTGAGTTTGGGTCCAGTTGATCCGAACAATGCACGAGGCTTAAAAATATAACAAAGGTTTCTGTAAAATTTTAGTTAGAATGTGATAATTAGCGGCGAAACGGTGTAATGGTGTTCTTTATGGATTAAACAGAACCGACTCGAATCGATTAAGACAAGATGAAATTGAATGGCAGCCGCGCCATCGATCACAGACGATTGAATGGAAATGAAAATCGTTCGGAAGCATTCCGACAATGACCGTCAAACGATCGTTCGCCACGGATGACAATGCTAATGACGACGTGTCGATTTGTCGTGTGGTCGAAAGACAGACCCCGAAGATTCACCCGGCACGAGGGTTTCCTTTCGAATCGGCGATCTGGCAGACCAGTGGTGGTTCTAATGAAAGGCAGGATGCGGCCGGGACCGGACGTGATGTTCACCGCATACAGAAACAGTTACAGAAACGAAGGAAACACCGTCGCTAGACTATGATGATCGTATACCCCTCCCATCAAGATAACCATGACCCTAAGTATGGTCAGACAAAAAGACGTCATCGACAAGGTTTTCTTTTCTTTTTTTTTCTTTTTACGCCTTGACAACAGTCTCTGTATGACATCTATGGTCCGGCAATGTTTCTTCCTTGTTATTAATCGTATTTCACATTAGTTTCGCGCATACGAAAATGTTTTTACGAATGTAACGTTAACCCATGCCGCCATGCGTAATGTCCTCGGCGCTATTCCTGTGACTGTAAAGAAAAACGCCGCATGTCACGATTGCAGTAAATTTGAGTTTATGCATTAATTGAGCTGTTGAATATAGAATCTATGTATTTATCAGAAAGAAGTACATGAAAATAAACTTTATACGATAAAAAAAAAAATAATGCAATTTAACCGTAAGTCTTTCACTACTAATTTGTCTACTAAATGTACATATATCTACTAATTTGTAGAATACGTCGATTACTCGTACCTTTCTGTTGTGAACGCTTTTTATATTCTATCTCTATTAATCTGCTTATACTACCAAGTTATCCTTATAATATAAAACGGAGAAAATTATATTCCATAGTTTTGTTTTACCAGAAATAGTATTACATACGAGTAAACATGTAATAGTCTGCTACTTCTGGTAAAATAACGTTTATTACACGTGTTACATGTGTGACTTGTATCGCACGAAAAACAACGCAATGCACAAAAGAATATTATGCAAAGTGAAAGGAATATACATTTATTTATGTCGTAAAATAAAACAAGGAAACATTGCTAATAAGAAGAATTGGTGTTCAGAACGTTAAATGGCAATACAAAATCGACATTGAAAACATGTGACATACGGTGTTTTTCTTGACAATCAGATTTAAATGGTATTTCTCTTGTTGTTTGTCGTGGATTATTTGTCAATGATATCTTTTAAAATATTCTTGTTGATAGCATTTTCTGGCCTTCCTATTGATTCATTTTCCGATCGTAGACAGTTCGGATAATTATGCTTAATAATTTTTGAAACTATTCGGGTACAAATTATTTCCACTGACAGATTATAATAATATTTATTTTTAAACAAATAAGTTTAAGTTATTTATTTACGTTAAAGTGACAGGGTGCCTTCTAAATATTCAATCAGGCAGATGACAAAGATTTTCGTTTGAAAACGAGATTCAATGAAACGAGGCGATCAATACCTGTCAATGGGACTTTCTGTTGCAAACGAAGGTGTGCACTTGTGCAGAGAATGAAGTAAACGTACGTCGACAGTTCATAGACCTAGTCAAGCTACTAATTAAGTTGCTACATTTCAATGCGCGTACACTGGGCTTCAATGAGTTTTCGCCACGCAGCATGATAGCAAATTAGAAATTGTAAAAAAAGTAGTTTTAAATTTCACAACATTCTTTTATATACGATTATTTTTTAAACGTAGATATATCTATTTCTCTCGAATCGATAAGTACAACAAACGTTCGAAAATATTCAAATTTATGAATTAACTAATTTCTTCATTTTCATATTTGCAATGAAAGTTGTGAAAACTCGGAGAAAATCTATTGTAACATTTTAATCATCACTATAAAAGTGTATTAACCAGACATTTTGACAGCGTCTATATAGTTCTAGCGTAAATATGATCGTAGAAATACAATTTACCGTAATACTGAAATAAGTTTCCGTTTGTCTTTTTAAGCATTTATACGGTATATGAGGAAAACCGTCATCGTATATCGAAGTTTTCTATTGAGAAATCAGTATTTCACGAAATACATTAAAATAAAAACAATGGAACTTCAAAGAGGAGGGAAGGATTTAATTAATGAACTATTCTTGATTAGTATTTCAATTCAAATTGAATGCGTACAAAATTCTTGTGATTGTACAAATTCTGCATGGTTCACAGAAGAAATTTATACTTTATTTCTATTTCTGAAAATTGGTTTACAAAGATGTAGGAAAAAGTCGCCTATAGCTTAACCGGTCTACTCAATCGTACCTGATCAATGTATTTATAATTAATAAGTATAAGCAACAGGTAATGGTGAAAAATATGAAATAAATGATCAATTAGAAGTATAAATAAGAAGTTACAAAATGACATCTTATTGTGTGCGTGCTACAGACATTAAAAAATATCAGCTAAGACTGATGTAACTTATGACTAATTTATTTTAGCTGATAATAATCCAACGATACAGCTTTATTATGCAATTTTATATTTTAATATTGTTGTAGTACTATTCATTGAATAGTATTCCGTATTTGTTACAATGATTAAAAACTTTTTTAATATTGACGAACAAAACATCTATTCCCGTTATAGAAACATTTTTATTTTCATATTTTGTAAGTTATATTCAAATAAAAATTTTTATTTACAAGAACTTGTGTTTATCTGTTTTCATAGGAACATATAATGTGCGTAAAAAAGTTCCATGATTCATGTTTTAAATAGAATCTATTAAGAAGTTCCAGAACTTTTGCGATTCCTGCTATAATGTGCATTGAAATCTTTCCGTACTCCCACTCTGATTCACCCCCGGAAGCGCGGACTCGGTCGGTCCGTGTTTCGCAGAACTAAAGGATTCACGTTACGTCGATTTAAAAATCGATTATCATTGACAGAAGAACGTTTTCTCGTGACGTGGGTGCGTTAATGGGATACGTGTCGTCAACCGTGAAACAATAGCACCGGCGACTGTCCTCGTTGGTTCCAGCGCCGCCAGGAATCGGTTCCTCTTTTCGAAGCTGTCCCCCGACAGATAGAAGACTCTTCCTCTCTGTTAGTGCATGCTACACCCTCACCGATGACACTTTGTCCGGGCTCCGCGAGAACAAGTTTTACTCGACACGGTGAATTTCCCATTGATTTCTGACGCCTCGACACGAACCTACTCTGATTTTCATTTTTGTAAAGAAATAATCTTGAAAAATCGTTTGATGTCGATGTAAATGAATAATGATTTTTTAAAGAATATCGAATTGAATCCGTTTCACCGCGATTCTTAAACAGTGCTTTCGAATACAAATGGATGAGTGGATTAATGTGAGTGCATCGAAAGTTTCAACGTCCATCTTCATTTTGCTTTCCTGGACGGATTTTTGGATGTTTAACCGTGAATTATTTTGGTGTTGATTAACAATCGTGACGACGGTCTGTTTTTTTTTTGCTTGCACTGTGTGTTAATTATTCATATCACGAGAAATGAATGATGCTATGAGCCATGCATTACCGGTCTTTCATAATTACACGCCGAAATTTTATTGCCAGGTGAGACTTTCAACCCCTAAACCGTGAGTATTAGTTTAATAAAGAAAAGATACTGACTAAAGGGCTCTGTTTGAAACTGTCGTTTGTAATAGCTCCAGACTTTGTTATTAACAAAATTTAAATGTTCCTTCGAAAGACATATTTACAAACAAAAAATAATATTAATGCAACGTTTTAATCATTTTTACACGTCCCTTCTCCGTAATTACATTCGTTCTGATATGTTTTCATACTTATTCCACATAAGTACATTTTGTTCCTTACGAAAGTTCATTAAATTCAATATATTATTATTTTTCGTAATGTCCTATGTACATGTCCCATTCAAAAAGTCTATTAAATCGTATCATTACATTCCTATAAAAAAGAAGTTCAACGAAAGTTATCGTTATAATACTTTAACCCTCATCCGTCTCTCACTTTCTCCAATTGATTTGTCTTTCCGTGTCAAATTGATACAGTGATAAACAAATTAATATAATGAAGAGATAAATAGTTAAATTCGCAAATTCTTGAAAATAAAAATCAAAGAGCCTCAGCTAAATTTACCTACACATGACAGAATAACGTCATATCTGAGGAGAAAAATGTGTCGAAATGACACAAGGTACAGGATGAGAGTTAATTACAAAATCAGAAGAAATATATTCGTGTTCGAAAACATGTAAAAATGATCTGAAATCACCTTGAAAAGAGTACAATTTTCGTGACACGTCACTTACATATACATACATATAGTATTCTCAGTTTCTTACGTGTGTGAGAAGAAGTCAATGAACGAAAATGTGTTATTTCCACAAATTAGAGATCAGTCTCGCTGTTTCAGGAAAGAAATGGAACGAAACGAACGTACGGATGCCAGGAACTGGCCAATGTGACCCTCACGAGCAACGTGACTTCCGGTCTCGAGGACTATTCCGACTCGGACCTGTGTTTCGGCGATTATCAATTCGCCACCGAGTTCGGAGAGAACAGCGTGGTGACGGAGTGGGGTTTAATTTGTGAAAAAAAATATTTGACATTTCTCGGACCGACGGTTTATTACGTAGGAGTTTTAATGGGCGCCTGGATCGCCGGACTTTTGGCTGATCGTATAGGCAGACTTCCAGTTCAAGCGATTTGCCTGTACACACAGGGGACTATGGCCGTTGCACTGTATGTCGTACAGGTAAAATGATGTTCACATTTTCAAACTACGAATTTCAAGAACAATGCGTGTATGTGTTGCGAATAAAAAATGTTAATGAAGCAGCGTTTAAGATTAAATTAATTAAATAACAAATACAGCATATAAATGAAATAATTATACTATTTCTTAATTAAGAAAATAAAGAAAGACGAGAGTAGTTGGTAAAAATAGCAGTAAAGTAGTGGAAAGTATCGTATTATTTAAATAGTGTCAAATATAATCTAATACTTGACTATATGTATATAAATGATAGTATTGAATAATCAATTTAATAACTAATCGTTATGTTCATTAGACCTTTCATATTATCTAGCTTCTCAAAAATATATTGAAGGAATTAAAAACATTATTATAGAATTTTTGTCTCATCACTTCCGTTACTATCAGTTTTAATATGAAAAGAGACTGTATTTCTGCGAATAACAGTGGTAGTTTACTGTATATGCACATTCCAAACTAATATTTGTATTGGCGTGCAAAATTGAGAAAAAAAGAATGGAGAATAAATAATGCTACAAGTTGTTCCTTCTTTTCTGTAACGGTATATTCATTTTAGAATTACCCCACGTTCTTGGCCCTTCGAGGACTGCAAGGGGTCTTTGTCCAGGGTCTACAAAATTCTACATACATTCTTTCTTTGGAATTGTTCCCGGCAAAAGCACGGACATTCGTTGCATTAGTTATGCAAATTGCGTGGGCCATCGGTTTACTACTTCTGGCTGCGCTCAGTTATGCGATACCAGATTGGAGAATCCTGCAGCTGGCAGTTTCAGTTCCCACTGCCATTACTGTTCTTTACATTTGGTAATTAATTTTAACCATATTTTAAAAATAACAAAGTAATCACGAAGTACGTAAACTCGTGCATGTAGAAACATTTTTTTTTTCATACGTTCCGTTTATATTCATCTGCGGTACAATGATAACTTTCATTTATTAATTTGTCTTCCTTTGGTCACGCTCCTTATTATTGCCAGTTTATAGTTCGATTTCTTTAAATGAAATGTTATTAAATCCTATACCCAGATAGCACACAGACGGCTTCACGACGACTTAAAGACGCCTGTTTCAGTCGTTCCAGTCGCCTTTCAGGCGTCGTGAATAGCTTACGAACAGCTTAGACACAGCTTCTGACCGTCTAATGTGACAAATCAAGGCGTCTTAAACAGGCCTGGATTACGACTGAAGCAGTCGTTTGAAATACGTAATTCGTCGTATTTATCGAATTTAAATTAAGTCAAATGCATCTCTTTAAAAAACGCCATTAGCACATATTAAAAATGGTTATCGATACCGATTAATTGCAATATAAATTTAATCAAGGAAAGCATTATCAAAATGAAATCAAACTTAATAACAATTCATTTCGATTTACTATATTTATACAATATTTAAATATTATTTGTGTTATACGGGCACATACATACATGTATATAATATATTTCTATTATAAGATTAAATTATGCACGAAATGAATATAGACTACACTTACAAGAAATATGCAATAAACATGTAGTTAGTACACAACCGAATATATAGAGTATACGAAGTTCACAGAACACACCGAATATATGCACGTCAAATATACATATATAATATCATATAAAGAATACAAATACCATACGTTAGAGTATTACAAATTTTACAAAATATACAGAACAAAATAGTATACAGAATATGAGAAATATACATATAGAGTATATGTCAGTGCTTCTTAACGCTAGTGTTCCTCAAACTTATTAAAGGTGTTTCATGAAATTATTAAAGCACAACACACTAACTTGGAATCTGTATATGAGTTGTAATCTATAATTTTCTGGAAAATCATATAAATTTTTGTTCTTAGTTTTTTAACCTCCGTGAAATTATGTTCTGCACATTTTAATTACAATTAAAGATGTTATATAATTTCGAAAATGTTATGGATTACTTATAAATGTATGTGCTTACAATAAGTGTAATATATTTAATGTAATCTATATAGATTAAAAGAAGTTCCAAACATGATTTAATTTAACTTCTCTTTTGCGTTAAAATGCATATAATCATATCATTATATGTACTTTGTTAAGCACCGCGCTTGTTTATTGCACTGCCTTTATTAGAAGTCAAACAGCTTTTCTAGAATTCATAGAAGTAACAAGACGGTAGTTATAATCAAGTTGTACTTGATCTGATTAAGAGGAACCACGCTACCATAATTTCACGGTTTTTATTACCGACAAGGGTAATTGTTAATTTTGATTTTCAGGATCATACCGGAGTCGCCAAGATGGCTGTTAGCAAAGGGTAAAACGACGGAAGCGGATATGGCGTTGGAACGTATCGCAAAGTACAATGTCTGTTGCACGAGATCGCGACGGGAAAATGCTAAAACCGAGGCGATCGTGACTGAAAACACGACACCGATTAAACCGGAGAGGAAGTCACGCGTTTCATCCTCCGAATTGAAGAAATCGAAAACGGACAGCGACATGAAAGATGAGGCTGTCAATTTGCTGACTAATAACATGGAAAGTAGTCAGCAGAAAGTTCGAAGTAAGGAAGTTAATACGAAATCCAATATAAAATACGCTTACTTTCAATATAATCGATAAATCAAAGTTTATCTTAATAATGATGTCTAACAATTTAATTCATTGAACATAATTACTCACTAATATTAACTAAAATTCTGCGTACAAGAAAACAAGGTAAAAAGGGAGAATGAAAAATTTGTATCAAAGAAAAGTACGTAACATCGAATCTACATCAAATTCGATAGACACCCCCTGATTGCATGTACATATTGGGTCGAGTGTAAAAATTCTGATGAATTTTGCTGCAAAAGAGTAGCTCTATGTCATTTTACAAGAATTATTTATTTAATGAATCTGATAGTCGCCATTGCTTGTTATGATTTTCAACTGTTGTTTTGGTAATATACGGATCATTTCATCGTAAATACCGGGTTACTCTATAAAACAAAAAAGACAGAACATCTGGTTTCTTGAAACCTCTAATGCCTAGAATTTTGTTTCTTCTTAAATCTTTAAATTTACAGTTTATCCCCGATTGGGAGCAACCTAGCAGTTTCACCAAACAGATCACAAATAACTTTCACGATTTTTGCAACATTTATTCGTCTAGAAAACTCGTATGCATATCACTACGACTGATAAACAAAGCCTATGTAGTGTCGTTTTTAATTTTATTTTAAAACACTATACCTACTCATTGAATCGCGTCAATTTGTGTTCTGAATAATAATTTATGGTGTTGCATTTCCATCCATGTATAATAAATACATCAACAATTTGTTTATTGTTTCTAGAATAACCATGACAGTCACATAAATCATAACAAACCTTTGCACTGACCCGATAGATAGTTGATTTCTATAGAGATTATACTCGTTGATAAAAATAATTTATACATATCTTTCAGAAACTAGTCTAAGAGCAATTTCTGAAAATCTTGAAAACAAACTTCCAAAAACGGAATCAGCGTCAGACTCCCCAACATGTGAAAATGGTGAAACGGAGAAGAAGAATATTCCCACGAGCTCGAAGAGTCACCGGAAGTCGAAATCCATATCCCAGCCGGCCGGTAGTCAACGACTCTCCATGAAAAATGCGTACGATATCGTCGAGCTGCGAACTCCCGCGAAGAATGAAATATTAACTAAAGATGAAGAGAAGATAGAGAATAAAATCGATGACAAGTCCAGTGACACTCAAACAAAACAGGAATTGAAGGATCTGTTCAAATCCTCTCTGCTGAGGAAATATGGCGTAGTATTGTTTTGCCAATGGTAAGCATTTTGACATTTATTCCTCGTGCAAAAAAGTATCAAATGAATTAACACACGATACCTGTATAATATAGATTTGTTCATATACGGTTAGAATGCAAATCGAATGTTATTCTTTCGTAAAAAGGATGAACAAAATGAATAATGTGATTATTATTGTAATCCTAAATGATATGTTACAAATTATATAATAAATCATGAGTTCAGATCTAGCAATTAATGAAAGAAGAAAATATTCTATACAATGATTCAAAGGAACCGATACATTAAAACTGAACACACAAGTTGACGCAGCAAACTACAGTAGTTTTATTAAGTCACTGAAAAATAGTGTTTCGCTATTTAATTGAGTGTAAAATTTTCTTTCATATTTTCATCGACAGCGTATGTTGAGAATATTTCACCATTTTCTTAATTATTATTACCCGATGCGACGTGACATCTTTCATTCATTCACTTAACCTGAATAATATGATCAGGCTGGAAGTAAGGAAATTTGATAGCATACCGCAGATAGCACATGGCGCCTTGAAGACGCCCATTTTACGGCTGTTTTAGGTCTAACGCGCCTTTAAGACGTCTTCAAGGCGTCGTTGGACGTCATGTAGAACAATGTATGAAAAAATTGAATATTTTCAAATAGATTTATATATTATGTATGTACTGGATATGGCTGGCACCTGATATTATCGTTTTGACTTACGTCAATATTATTATCTGAAGGTAGAGAAAAATAGATAAAAACAAAGTTACATGGTTTCAAGTTTCAAGGGGGACATATGATATGCGAAACGAAATTTTTTTAGGTGAAGATATTTTGGATATTTAAAGTTAACCTTCGATTTTTTAAATGGGAACATATATTTTTTATAGATCATTTCGAACATCTCTCATGAAAGTAAGCGGATAGTGTTTGTTAAAAATTAAAATTCGCTGTAACTCGAAAACAAAATCAAACAGGACATATGTTTATATGCACTTTTTTTTATTGTTTCGATGTGCTGAAGTCACCCCTAAAATATTTCCCACTTATTCTGGAACACGCTGTACATATTTGTATAATATTATGCTCCTTTCTTGCTTGTTCAAGGTTAACATCTTCCATGGCGTGTTGCGTGTTCATGGCACTGATACCAAATTTCCCCGTGAATCGGCACGTCACGTTTGCGCTCGGGGGCGCATTAGAAATTGCAAGTTACGTGTTCGTCTATTTCGTATTGTCCAGATACGGTAGACGAACGCCTATGTCTGCGTATCAGTCTTTCAGCGGCGTTATTTGCATCTTAATGGCAGCTATAATCATTCTGACGAAGCCTGCGATTGGGATCGGTACGTAATCGAAATAACGAGTGCCATTTTACAGTAGGTACCTACCCAAAATAAGAAACAAAAATATCCACTTTATCGATAGCACTGAAATTGACTCAAAGTTTATTCAATCTTGATTTTCTTTACACGACTACGTACATATTTGCAGAATTACATACAGGGTGTCTCGGCTAACTTGATCACCTCGAATAATGTCTTAACGGTACACTTTACTAACAATTTGAGGCGTGGAACTTAAATGGCATCAAGGAGCACATCTTATAAGGAAGGTGCTTTTCTTGTGGGTGGAAACATTTCAGAAATTTCAAGGTCACCGTGATTTTTTTAACAGAATTACCTATTTTATGTACTATACATCGATAGAGCATCAAATTCTAAGTAAAAGTGTATTGATCTTCATACGTCCTAAACCTTATAGTTAACGAAATATTTACAAAATAATCATTGTATTGAAATCGCTGTATTGAAGTTGAGGGGCATCGGTTCAAGCACCTATAGCTTCGAGAACATAATAAAATACGTACCTGCGTATTAAAACTTATTTTGTAAATATCTCGTTAATTATTAAGTTTTGGACGTATGAAGGTGAACATATTTTTTCTCAGAATATGATACTCTATCGATCTAAGGTACAAAAATAAATCTGAAATGCCTCCACTGTCAAGAAAGGCACGTACCTTATAAGATGTGCCCCTTAATGCCACTTATGTTCCACGCCTCAAAGTTTGCATAATGTGTACCGTTTAGTCATTATTCGAGGTGATCAAGTTAGCTGAGATACTCTGTATATTCACCATCATAATCGGTAAAATTAGTATTCGTCTGATCAGTAACATCGCTAAGTGTAATTTTAATTATTCACAGAAGTGGATTTCTCTACTTCTAGAGTCTTGATTTTATTTTATTTTTCATATTTCCATGTTCAGATTTCACGAAGACCATTATACTCTCGCTCGGCAGAATAGCAGTGATGAGTACCATTTCCATAGCGTATTTATACTCGATCGAGATCTACCCGACTGTTGTGCGAGGGACCTGTTTAGGCATGTGCACCGTTTTCGCGAAAATCGGCAGTTTATGCACACCACACGTATTACTATCGGTAAGATTTTCTATGTGACTACTTGTGAAATTCATTTCATGTAATATTCAGAATTCAATCTTTCATTGTACAAGAGTTCCATTTTTCAATCGGGTGGAAACGTGCTTCGCTTAAATTGTAAGTCGCGTTACGTTGAATGATATTTAATCCAAATTTTCGTATTCACTTAGGATTATTCCAACCCTCCATACTACCTCCGATCCTCAAAGTATTCGAACGGCTTAATATGAACATAACTTAGATATGTTTCTGAAACATTCCAAACCCTTCCATACATGCGTGAACTAATACATGTAAACTTAGAATTTATTACTAATCACTTCATCGCAATAAGATCACATCTCATTTCTCGATACCCACATTTTTTATTAATAGATTCTGTAGTTCCTTTTCTTTGAGTGCGTTTCGTTGTTAAAAATTGTTTCCCAACGATATTTTCTCTTCAACTACTTTAGGGGTTATGCCTACCTGCGAGCTCGAAAAAAGACATGTACTTTCGAAATTTATTTTTACAAAACTTGAAGACTTTTTTAAACATACGTCATTGTATTCGAAAGTGTACATTTTAAAGTGCTTATAGTAATTTCTTCAATGCAAAATATGAATAAATAGGGGAAATATCAGCGATCTCCTGGCAGCGTTTTTATTATAGGCGTTTTGCGGTGACCACTGTAACTTCGAGTTCGTTTATCTAAAATAAAAAATCCGAGCAAATTTAGTTAATATATTAAATTATCTAGTGCCCGGTCGTTCATTATCCTGAAAAATTAATTTACGACAAAATGGCGGCTGTTTAAAATCGAAGTATCAATTTTCGCCAAAAGAATCGTTCATTGATCGAGCACTCGATTTTTATGTATAGAATAAGTTCACCGAAGCTGAATCAGTTCGGTGCAGCGATTTGGTCACCGATTTTGAAAATGTGGTTCGAACCGAATCAATGCAAATTTTTTATATATAGTTATTGTTAGTACTACGGCTTCATATAGCTTTGTGTATTTACTAACACAACCATAAATAGCATTAGAGCACAGTATTCATGACTCACGCACCCCTAGAAAGGGATTCTACCACTTTATATCTGCTTCCAAACTCCCCAAACCGTATACTTTAAACAGGCGTAACTCCGCCAATTTTGGTCGGATCAACTTCAAACTTTCACACAATATTTCGAAAATGATGTACTGTAAAAAAATATTAAAACGCAAAAATCAATTTTTTTTAAATTTATAGGTAGACAGCCTTAAGTAGGACGCCTTAAGCGTGAAACAAAAAGCTACATTCTGAGATGTCCTTATTTATTCTGATTCTTAATATCTTCTATCGCTCAACCATTCTTAAATTCTTGCAAGAATCCACTTTACACTCCTTCAATTTTTCTCTTCCTTATTAGGTTGGACTTAAATACAGCTTTGTAAGCTGCGCCTCTCCTTTATACCATATTTTAGATTTTAGTTCTGTATATGAAGATACTTTCTTCATTTTTATTATTTTTTTCTCTTCTTTTCTTGTTGTATATATTTTTACATATTTTTTTCTATGGTGTAAAAACGACAGTATTATATATTATTATTATAAAATCGCGATTTGTCGCTCCTCCTCCTCATATTGTTGCATTGCTATCTACGCCATCCCGTGATGCGAGCCATCAATAGGTAGCAAAAAGTAAAAGCGCGTCGCCAACTAATAAAAACAGTCGCAAAATAGTATCAACTGTTCCGAGACAAATCTCGCTTCAATAACCAGGCTGCGCCATCCTATAATGAGAATACTATGCACCTAATATTAATAAAAATGCGAATGACGTAACATGGTAACCCAACGAGTGATTAATAATACTACATAAATAGGGGTAGTGTACCAATCATTGTTATCGAATGCAAAAAGTATCGTAAAAGTTCCAAATTCTACTACTACTATAATAAAAAGATTACATTTTCCAACCCTTAAAAAATGAAAGGGACACTATCGATAAAAAGTTGGGCACATGAATCACGTCTACGAGTGAAAGGAGACTGAGATTTGTTTATTAAAGAAATGACATTAAAAAATTGTAAATAATTGCATACCTTTACAAAAGTTAAATGTATCGGGAATTGTTCCGAAAAATATTAACTTTGAGTAAGATTTGACTAAATTTATTAACAAGACAGGGTCAAAATGATTATATGTATCTTTAAAATAACTAAAAATAGAACAAAATGGCATAAAGGAAAATTAAATTTTACAGGATGCTGCGTTTTATTATATTAATATTGGCTATGGTTGTCCTACATTACGTTTGCTCAATTATTTCAATATATCAGCACATTTGTGCTGACACAACTTTTCCTAAATGTAGACAACAAGGAGTCAAAGTGCAAATTTCAAATTAAAATAAGTTTTAAACTAATAGTTTTAAGATATAATTCTTATTACAGACAGTGAAAAATTACATCGATTGATGTTTAAATGTATAAAGTTCCATTTAAAAAAACAAAAGATACAATTGCACGTTTTAGAAGCGCCAATGCATAAAAGTACAGAAAGTTAATACACGATATGCACGTATGATTAGATTTTACTTTATATCATTGTTGTCTATCTCTAACTGTTTTAAAGATACAGCTTGACCCAATTAAAAATTTATAAAACACAAAACTCTGATTATAATTTTTGTTTCAGGGTGAATACTTTCCAGTCACCATTCCATTAATTGTCATTGGAATGCTCTGCTTAGTGTCTGGAGGCCTAGCTCTGATTCTACCGGAAACTCTGGGCAAAATTTTGCCCGACACTGTAGAGGATTCAGATTTATTGGTTGTAAAGAGGAGGGAGAAGAAGGATAACGAAACTTTAAATAACGACAGCGTGCCGAATGAAGAAGATCTATCAGAAAGAGAAGTACTTCGAGCAAAACTCTTTTCGGAAGATTGGGTGGACGCCGGAAATGGTATATTAGTCAATTTTACAGACAATAAGAATTCTGAGTGACAGAATGAAACGTAAAGCCATTACGTAAATAAAGAAGTTAATCGTGTATTATTAACAATAAATAATTGATGGTGTTGATAATGCGCTGAACTATTGGAGAGTAAAATCGATTTCTAAGATTTATCGTAAATATTTCTTCTTTATAGCATTTTCATATTAAACGACTGAACTACAGCAATACTTTAAACTTCTTTGTACGCACCTAATATTTTAGATTTCTAATATTGATAAGTGATATTCGTAAGTTTTTTAATTATTTTTTGAGGGAAGAAGTTTCTAAAAATTTATGAAAATACTCATAAGCATGTATCATAACGTTCGTTTTATTATAATTTAGACTAATCAGTATTTAATATTTGTTCTACTTACTGCGTTAAACGTTAGAATAATTTTAATAAAACGATCAGTAGTCACTGCCTGTTAAATTAAGAATAGGTTTTACTATATAATTAAGAAATATTTAATGCATTTGCGTTTCAGGCACAAAAATAATATTAGATGTTTTATTAACTTTTTCGTATATAATGTACGTACATTTTCATTTATATTGTCTAGTAAAAGTAATTGTACATAAAATGACCAAACACAAATACATATGTAATTAATTTTAAATAAAACATAAGGAATAAGAAGCATATAACTTTTCATGGAAAACTGATGGCTTTTGCCAAAAGCGCTAACAATTGTACATGCGACAAAAACCAAAGCATTCGCGGTAATATTTAAATATGAAAACCAATTATTGTAAAGATTATTTTGATACATAAAATATTACTCGGTATTGCATAAATATAGTTTTCATTTCATCAACTACCAAAGAGTGAAATTTCTTTATTAGTGAAAATCTTATTCTTTTACACGAGTATATTAGGTGGCAAGAGAGACAAGAAAACCAAACATTATTGGAAATATTATATTTATACAGAATATTCCAAAGTCAAACAAATTTTGTAACAAAATAAAGTAGGCGACTTACTATGGCTATATCCATTCCTCCAATGCTGTTCCATCATTTCCATTGTCTTGAAGTATAAACAGTGTAAACATTTATAAACAGCTATTCAGGTTTCAGGATCACTCGTCCAAAATCAGATTCTACAATTGGAGTACTGTTATATCAATTTGTTTCTATCAACTGTATAGTATAAATATACTTCTCTAAACGTGGTACACATTAATACTTTAATTTGTAGAATAGTCTGATCATTTATGTACTTATATTACATTTTCCATAATTATGTGAGTACTGCTTTGGAAACTTTCTGAATAACCAGTATATGTATGTTTAGAGTTATTATCGTATCAAGTGTTTGTAAATTAAATATAAATAACAGACAGAAGGAAAAGAGGGAGAAGCGTAATCACAAGTATGTAACGAACATAGAAAAGTACTTTATTAGTGATTTATCACAGCCAAAAAACATGACTAATAAAACAATTCTGGTAGAGTACTATACAAATAATCCTACATGGTAACATTTGAAGGGTGTACTTTTTATGGTCCAATTTAATAGAGCACTTTTTTGGTCATGTATTAATCAAGGAATTTTAGGTTGTACAATACCATTGTTCTGAGGATTCACATGTTGTGTTTGTTCTGCTGCAGCCTGCAATAGTCTTGTTCTACGTCTGGTATAATGTTGCCACAACAATATCTGTTGGTCATCTATAAATTTGGTACACTGAGAGTTTACTACTTCTCTTCTAAAGTGTTCATATTGCAATAAGTCTAAAAAGTACAAGCACATAGGGTATTTCAGGTATTTTGCATACTCTGGTTCTTTCCAGTATAATAGATACTTAAGATAGTTAATGAATGTTGAATCTTTAAAGTAGCCACGTTGTGCTAGAACTATAATAACAATTATTAGTATGCTTGACAGAATTTGTAGACTAAGTAACAATTATTAAAAGACATACAATTTAAGTAATTTGGATTAGCAAGACATTGAACAAATTCAAGTTCAACCTGAAATCGTAAACGTTGTTGATCATCTGTTTCTGGACCCCCTAAAAAATAGACAAAATTTGTTATTGTGCAATCCTATTATTTCAAACATATACTTTAGGATATATCAATTACTATGCTTATATCATCATGAAATAAGTTTATAATGACTTCCATCACTATGAAATTTAAAGAGACCCTCTAGTAATGTGTAATATAAATACTACATTAGCATTGATATCAATGCAAAATTTACTTCAAAAGAAATAACTAACTTTTACAGCAAGCTCTTACAATGTTAGAAAACCGTTAAAAAAGTAAATGACACTAAGATCATTTAAAAAAAACAATATTTTCAAGAAACTGATGATTACCTGAAGTTTATACATATTACAAAATATCACAAACTTTTCCAATTACTTAATATGATTATCATGAAGCTAAATTTTAAATGTTAATTCTAATAGATGCAATATAACCTAACACAGAATATATATGAAGAGATTCAATGATCACATATGAAGTAAATTATTATAAGAGCATAGTTTACTTTTTAATAAATATCAAAATTTTGATAAGTCATGAATTTAATTCGCCTTGACATTACATTAACATACACTAAAAATACAACAAATATACAATACATAAGGAAAATGATACAATCGATTTAAAATTTGAGAATACAAATGCACCAAACGATATTTGACAAAATAATAATAGTATTACACATTAAGTGAAGAAAACACAAAATTTTCTTTTAATAGACGCTTGTTTATTTATATGTACATTAAAGAATAATATAATAACAGAAAGGATAAATTAGACATGAAAAACAAATATCGTCTGTTATAATAAGGGAAACAATTTATAAATAAAACAAATTTTATGAACTCTATAAAAAAAATACCGTTCATTCCAATGAAGGATGGTTTTCTGCCTTTCATGAGACCCGGAGGATCATCCAAACGGTTCATAGTACATACATTAACTTTGAGGATCTAATTATTTCGACGGTGTGTTGATAATTGAATTAAGTTTTATGAACAAAAGAATAATAAATATTTATTACAATTAATGTCTATAAGAATCTTGTTATAAACTACATCACACCAGTTATGCACAGATTTCTGCAGATATCTCATTCATATCTGATACCAATCTGATAGATATCGAAAAGCATACAATAATAGGTACGAATGCCACAGAATGGCGGAAGTAGAGCCATCTTGCTCAACTTGCTCTTGCGGGAAATGTGAAACCTTAATTCCCAAAAGTAAAGAGAAATGTAATAAGTAACTTCGTGTGAACATATGCACTGAATATTGTAGCCATAATGAAGCGATACTCGTAACAACAATTATTGATTAAGACGTTATAAATTAATAACTAATTAATACATAGTACAATTATACAGAATTATATCCCTAATAACCAGTTGTGTATCCTCGCGAACTAACTTGGCTTCAGCTAGGGGAAAAAGTGGCTTAAGAGAAGGGCCTCCTACCACCCGGTAAATTTATTTTAAGTACTGAAATAAATGTTAAACTGAATATTAATTTGATACAAATTTCAATAATTCCCAATACTAAGTGGTAGGAGGTTTTGTCCTTACATCACTTTTTCCCCTAGTGGAAGCCGAATTTGTTCGTGAGTGGACGTGTATATTTTCGGGAACTCAGGCGACTATAGACATAGGCATATATAAACGGAGCATAAGCTACCACTTTCGGCGAGGGGACCATAGGATTGGAGGAGAAAAGACAGCGGTCGTTAGATATACGTCGGTTAGCTTCGGATGCATTCCGCTCGATTCGGCTCGTTATTATAGCTGGTGGGATGTGTGTAGAGATGTTATGAGATTATCGTAATGAGATTTATCACAGTGATCACTGAATCACGATCACGGTCGTAATTTAACTCCATTTACGACCGTGATTGCGATTTTTTTATCTTTAGTGAATTTGCTTACTGCGCTCGTAAGTCCTTGATCTTTAAACAGAAAAACGTATTCAATATGATTTTACGATGAATTACATTACTATTTGTGTTTGTAAAAATCAGTAGAAAAAACAAGAAATTCTAAAAGAATGATTTGCTAGGTAACATGTAGATTATAATTTATAATCATTAATTTATTCATTATTCTTCATTGTTTCTAATTATTCCTTCACTTTATAAGATATAACTCGAATTTTTGTTTTGATGTCGTTAATATAAAATATACAGATTATGTGTCGTATGTAAAGAACTGTTAGGTTTCTCCACGATTCAGAAACGATCACGAGAAATCACGAATCACTGTGAAAAATCACCGTGATTGGGAACGAATGTGATCGAATCACGAGTGATTCAGAAGTAGCAGTTCACGCCATCTCTAGCTGGGTGCCATACCCACTGAACTCTATTCTACCAGCGACTAGGTATAGAATAGACCTATTATCCAATGCTTTTTTCTGTCCCACGTTCATAGGGCTACGTAGCCATGTTACCATTTTAGTGTCAATATCCGACGTTACCGATAAAGCATGAATTCTGGGTATTATTAGCACAAATGAAGTGTTATTCCATTCATATTGTGTGTATCTATATGATTTGACGGGAATAAAAATATCCGATGCTTCAGTTTAAAGTTAAGGGATAAATATGACAGTCATAAAACATGAAACGGAAAAGTATATATGTTTTCACTTAACTACAAGACAATTTATTCTAAATGCATCGTTAATGGACACGTTATTAATGTTACTTTTTACATGTTCTTGTTTTATTCGTTTTTATATCTTGCTTTACATTTGTATATTTGTAACAGATAAATTCAGAATAGATGTAGTTTCATAAATAATTTATTAAATTTACCTTTTGGCCGGCGGCTTACAATTTCCCTTGCGGGAAGCCTTACCATAATGAGCCATCTCGTAGCCGCGGGATTCCGGGAATCGGGTGACGTCACGGCGTGCGAGCGAGAGCGATAGAGCGAGCCGCGGTATCGGTGCTCTCCGTCGGTGTTGACGCGTGCCGAAAAATTTCGGTGGTCTATGGGGGGAAGTGTGCGAGCGAGAGAGTACGGTAGAGCGTGCCGCGATATCGGTGCTCTCTGTCGGTCCAACGCGCTAGTGACGTTGCGTACCTGGCCGTACCATCTGGTGTTTGGGTCGTTCAAGGAGGAAGGTCGTTCAAGC